CCGTTTTTGAACCCGTTTGGGAACATTTTGAAACCCTCTGAACTTCTGTATAACTGAAAGCGCCTTCAAAAGTTTTGATAGTGGGTTAGCCGAAAATGGAAGTTTTTAAGTAGTACCAAAGTTAAATGGCACCGATAAATGGTACAAAAACTCTGGGATTTTGAAATATTGAGAGACACATTACGAAGTCAAACTGTGCACTGGATAGGCGCACAACTTTGTGTCTGTATAATCCTGGATTTCAGATACAAGTCTTCCAACATGTTTAAAAAAATTTTGGAACAGAAATCAAAGGAAACAAAAGAACAATAAAGGGAGCGTCCTTGTTGGGGAATCCGCTTAAAATTCACAAAATGCACAGTTTGGCCTCGTAATGCAAAATTTTCTCAAAATCTCAATATTCGTTTCAGATTATTATTATAATTTTGTACTACGTTTACTTGCCATGTACAGTTTTTTCTACATGGCATTCTATAAACAATATCGATAAAAAGGTATCTAACGTTTGGTTATCAATTTTTCTCAATTTTCACAAAGAAAGCTTTTCTTTTTATCAGTATTTTCCTAGATATAGATCCCGATTGAAAATGCATGGCTTTACAAACTTCTTTTAATTGAAAATATCGGTTACTTCAGCTCAAAAATGATAATTGGTAATTAATTCATAATTGGATTTTGGTGTTTTACAAATTGGTTTTTTAAGCGGGCCCTCATGTCAATACCAATAGAACATCGTCAACATTGTATTTTAAAAAAAAACCTAACCACTAAATTTTTCCACCCCTCCCCGTCCCCTTGATCTGCCTTTGGGTGCAGAGGCTTGTTAATAACTATGAAAAAAATAAAATCAGCTAAAATCTTTTCGAGTTTGTCACAAAACTGCTTAAAAACTAGTCTGTATTTGGTGAGTGCATCAAAATACAATAAGTCAGAGAAAATTTATGTTCATGTTCGAAAAATAATGTTTGTGATTTGGAGTAACTGTAGTGAAAAAACTCAATTTCTAACCATTTTCGAATTGATACAATATGAGAAAAAAACTGTTTAATCAAACTATTCAACTATAAAAAAAACAGACATACAATTTCACTCATAGAAAAAGGGTAGTCATATAATAAATCTAATCATATTTTGAAATCTCTTTTTGTCAAATTGGGCTAGTTAACTGCGTCTGTAAAAATGTATCATTAGTCTCAATGTTTCAAACCCAACCAATTCTTGTTGTTTATTTTTATTCTGGCAAAACGATATCTACTTCTTTCTTTCTGTTATTTGCTCTTGTTAATCAATCCGACTCTGAAAATTGGTAGGACATTTAAACACGGGTGGGTTTCAATTTTTAAAGTTTTTAAATTTTTTTTGGTTATACAGAAACAGTACCAAAAATCAACGCCAATGCTTTGAGTGTTATATCATATCAAAGCCCGCCTAATCGTGATTCAATCGTCATCAATAACTACTTTGAAATACGAGAAAAACTCATTGGTAAAAATTTAGCGAGTAGCTGGGTTGACAAAAAACATATCATACAATTTCATACTATGAAAAAAAAAATGTTTCACAAACTGTTAGATACAATTTGATGGACTGAAAAAGTTATATGAAAAAAGCAACAAAAATATTTTTTTCCGTACCATGAAACTTTATAATAAATAACATGTTTTTCGCCATAAGTTTTTCTACATCAAATGTGTGAAAATTGTAAAAGCAATTTTTTTGAAAGCATGCAATTGTATGATTTGCATTTTTCCATATTTCACGAATATATATGACACGCGTTTTTTCTATACAGGAAAATGCGAAAAAAAAACTTTTGGAAATTTTGTTTTTATCCAAAAATACATTAATCAAAGATTTTTATCATCAGAAAACAAAAAAAAATGTGAAGAAGCGTTTGTTGATATTAGCACTGTAAATTTTTGTTATTACTTTAGCTCAGAGTTATAAATTAAACTCTAAGTAATTGTAACTTTATGTATACGACTAGACAGTTTTTACTTTGAAAATTTCGGCGGTTAAGAAAAACGCCTGTGTGGTTTGAGCTTTTTTTTAATACAATTTTTTACAATAACACCCTTCTTTATTTTTTTTTATTCTCGGATGAACACTTCAATTTGGAGTACGTTATAGACACAAAATTCACGTTTGGCGTCCAAAAGTGTTTTTTTTTGTAAAACGTTTATTTGTTCACAGAAATGAGTTTGCGATCAAAAACGGCATAAATTTTTAAAATCTCAGAATTGATTTTTTTCTGGCGAAAATAATTCATATCATATCATTGTTATATACTAATCTGAATGATGAGAACTTGATTTCTCTAAAAAATAATTTTGATGGCAAAATTGATCTCATGTAACTAAAACTGCCACTTATTAGTAATGTTTGAGATGTAAGCCAATAAAAGATAATTATTGAAAAAAAAATTTGATTTCTAAAAGAATTTAGAGAATCATGAAAATTGTATGATAAGCTTTTTCTACAGAGTTCAAAAGTTATTTGATAAAACACTCTATCACAATCGCAAAAGCAAGTGTTTAATACTATGAAATTGAATGTTGAGTTTTATTTCATAGTCTATGAAGTTTAATGATAGGCAGTTTTTCTAGGCAAAATGCAATAAACTTTAATTCAAATTTTTGTTTTTTGCCCAAAAACGCAAAAAAGATTGATTTCTATCAAAAGAAAACCCAAAGATTAAAAGCAGTTGTTGATGTTCAACACTGTAAATTAAAGTTAATTTTTGCCGGAAATCTTTTTTGCGGAAAATCCATTTTCGAAAAAATTTTTTAGCATAGAGGCGACTTTGCAAACAAAAAATGGATTTGGAGAATTGTATCTCAATAAAGCAATTTTTTTGTATGAAGATATATTTAAAAATTTCATATGTGAAATATGTATGAGAAAAAAATTTTATCCAGATTTTTTTTGTCGCCTTATTGGCTCTCATGTAACCAAAACTGCCAATATATTGTGTTGCTTGCGTTCAAACTAATTTATATAATTTTCGAGAGAAAAATTTTGATGAACAAATGCTTATCATACAACGTTCTGCAGACAATGTACGATGAATGTTTTTTTCCATCTGAAAAATTTTTTCTGATGCCAATTTTGCTCTCATATAACAAAAACTGCCACTTATTAGTAATTTTTGAGTTTTAAACCAATTCAAGTTAGTTTTTAAATATAAAGTTTTGTTTAGAAAGTACTTATAATACGATTTTCTTCTATGAGGATTGCATGACAAGCGTTTTTCAATAAAATCCATAAAAGTGATTGTATGATAAAATTTTTATCACAAAAAAGTGTTACAATTGCAAAATCAGATTTTCAATACCATAAAAATTTATGATGAGAATTAGTTCCATATTCTATGATTTTCTATGATGGGAATTTTTTTGGAAAAATGCACTAAATTCATCTTAAAGAACCAAAATGGAAAAATGGTACAATCATGGGACAATGAGTTTCCAAAATTGTGATTTGAACGTGCAACTTACCGAAACTTTTCTTGGCATTTTTCTTATTCTCTCTCATCAACTATTTAAAATCTTTGATTGAAAATTTGACCGTGTTTTAGAGAACTAAACTAGCTAATATATCATAATTTTTTTCCAAGATGTTGTTACTGTGGAAACAGTCTTGCAAACAACACAAAAAAAGCAATTTCAACACAAAGATTTCAATGCAAAATGTTTCGTTGGGAGGTTGTTTCAAATTCGCGGAAAAACGAAAGACAAAAAAATTGAAAAAAGTAAATTAATCCGGCGTCAAAATCCGGTTGAATATAATTTGAAGATATAGACACTAAAACAATGTGGACATTTTTGACGCCGGACCGAGTAATTTTTTCATTTTTTTGTCTGTCATTTTTCTGCGGCTTTCTAAGTCAAGCTCATCGTCTTTCCAATGAATGAATTTGAGCTCATGCGTTCAAATTCTTTTTGTTCTTTGTAAGGTTATTGTAAAAGCATGAACACCTCTGAAAGTAGTTATGATATGCTGATTGATTTACGCCTTCAAAAAAGATATCCGAAACTTTGACCCGATAAATCCTTTCGAATGTTCAACCTAGCATGTTTCAAAATTGCAATCCTATCTCTCAGTTAGTTGCAGAGAAAACGAAAGAAGCGTGGAAACAAAATTTGTTTGTTTGCTCGTTCAAACCAAAAAGTTGCAATTTCTATGCCTCGTAACATAAGATTTTGTTTTGTTGTTGTTGTTAACATAAACAATTAATTTGGCTCGGACTAGAAGTTAACTTTCAAAGAAACTATTCACAAAAACTGCTCCAAGTGAAACATTTTTGTCTCAACCTCCTGATTGGTTTATCTGATATCTTTTAAAGGGTTTCCTGATTGGTTTATCTGATATCTTTTAAATATATTTTTAACTGCTTATTTTCAGTATTCCAGGTCAAATAATTTATGGGATTTCTTTTTTCTGGGACCATGTAGAATCAGAAAGTGAAAGTGTTTGGTTACCACCACCTCTCGAATCTGATTAGCTCTCCATTTCACAAAATCAGAACCAGCAAAGTGAAAGTTCACCCCTCTGGTTTTTAAAGGAGCATATTTGTTTTTATGAGGTGAAAGTTATCAACTTGATGCTATATTTTCGTAATGCGACAACTCGCAAGAAAAGACAACTCGCAATAAAAGTCAACTCGCATCAAAAGACAACTCGCAATATACTCACCGCCGCAGTTGCGTCAACGTGTTGCGAGCTTTCCAACAAAAGGTAGGACTTTATACGATATTTAGAGCCAGTTAAACCGAGAATACGAAGTTTCTAATTAGCTTCAAAAATTTGCGAGGTGTCGCTTTCATTAAATTTTGCGAATTGTCTTGTGTTGCGAGTTGTCGCGGTACCCTATATTTTGAGTAGACTGCAGTCGTATCATGTAAGTCATTAACGATTGGTCATATCTTTCGCGCCTATCCTTGTCAAAACGGTGCAATATAGAAGAAGAGTAGATTATTATGACTAAATAAGAAAAAAACACAGTGAGCCGAGAAATCAATTTTGGAACAAAAAAATGGAAACATGAATATTCAATCAATAAAATATATAATTCAGAATAATTTTAAACATTATTATGGCGAATTTATTTGGGTGATATCTAAATTTGATTTAACATTTAACAGAGCTATTTTGTAAATGATATGAAGTTTTCTACTAAAAAAAGGTTCTATTAGAAGTAAATAAACTGAACTCTAAACTAAGTTTCACTAAACCTCCTCAATTTCCCAAACTCTCAGACGAAATGGCAGCACACAATGAGATTTGTAACTTAATGTTGTAATTCCTTCGACTGACTGGCATCATTCTTTTTGATTGTCGAACATCTTTAGACCTGAAACAGAACAAACTTATTTATATCGAACTACCGACCGAAAAACATTAGCTATTGAGCTCTTCAAACATAGTTCTCTTTGCATCGAAATTTCGTATGCATCGAAATTTCGTTCTGCCCAGTTTCTTATGGTAATGTGTTTTGGTGGGATAAGGTGAAGCACATACTTAAGAATTATTGAAATGTTCTCTGGATTTTTTTTAACGCAAAAATGATGTTTATCTGTTTTTTTTGTAATTGCGTAAAGAGAAACATCAACTGATATCATCACTTCTGCTTAAATTAGTATAAGAAATGCGGAAATACTCAGACACCACTTTACGATTTTTTCAGCATTCAAATTTTTTTGGCTCGAAATTTTTATTTGCAGCTGTAATCACGAAATGGTTTTTGTATTGATATATACAACTCTACCACATCTGGCTTCTTTTCTGATTGCGCGAAAAGAACCCAGTCAAAAGCACACCGAAGTTCCATCGTTGCTTCCCGTTGTCGGAAAAACAATTCATTTAGTGTTTATTTTGTTCAAACACTCTTATAACTTACATGTTTTTCAAACATCGAAACCCGATTCGTTAATTTTCTTCCAGATTGGCTCGACTGAACCTGCTGCGGACTCCCCAAACTGGCGCTGCTGAGTGGCGGCAACACGGGTGGCGTGTGGGGTGGATGTTGACCCGAGGAGGGGAGATGGGCAATGCAGGTCACGTGACCATTTGTTGATTGTGGTCTGTGCAGGGCTTCGTGCAATGCTTGAACAGTTGCACTGACTGAGCTGATTGCACGTGCCTGCACGTCCAACGCCTGTTGCATTTTGCTCTGTTGATGAGTGAGTTCCTTCAACTAAAATTATTCAATAACATTTTCGAGCAACGCATTTCGTGTAATTCTAAATTCGTGCAATAATTTGAAGAAAAATCATATAAAATATGTAAAAACCAAATGTAAAAACCAAAATCATAAAAATATGTAAACCAAAAAGTGTTTACAACTCCGAAGTGTTTCTAAAATTGTCATGATGGTACAAGTTTCACAATTTTAATTGCAAAAAAATTGAATCCGTTTTTTGAATTTGAATCCGTTGTTCTCCAAATACGTACACATTGTGTTGCCGTCTCCAGCTCTGCCCTCATTTCTCTGTTTGTCATCTGATTCAAGTGGGGTTGTGAGAGGAGATTTCTAGCGGCAGTTATCCCCCCACGGGTGGAAGAGGTGGGGGATATTCCGGCAGCCGAGTAGCCAGAGTCGGAGGACTGGCTGTTGCGCTGTCTGTCGAGTGCTCCTCCTCTGTCTACTGGCAATCCTACGGAGCTCTGAAATTGGATTAACGGGGATCACCAGTTTCAAGAAAATATTATTTTCTCCCTTATTTTTCTTGCTTCTTATATAATTAATACGCTGAGCCAAGTGCAAAAACATCTTAACTTTTTCCTAGTATCGATTTTTATCGGCCATTGACGATTGTAATATAGTTTGCTGTCGAAACTTTTAGTTTTTCCCTGTTTTTTTTCCAGAAAACCATGCTGTGATTATCCTGCTTTTAAAGACATTTAATTGTTGCTTTTGTACGAAGTTGGATTTATTTTTGCAGTGTCAACTAGAACAAGAATGCTATGAAGAGCAGATTTTGCTTGACATAAAAATGAAATTGACAATGTGTTGAAAGCAATCCTTAAGGTATGAAGTTATAGTGAAAACGGAATATGTTACCATGTTGAAGTAGTTTTGGAATCCACTGTGTTGTGTACTCGATAACAGTTGAGGGGGAGGAGGCGGTGGCATCTGCTGGTCACCATTATTCCCACTTCGCTTCTCGGGGGAGGCTTCGGTGGAAGAGCCAGAAGTCATACCGTGGTCAGTCTAAATGGACAAAAGACAATGAAAAAAACTTCAATAGAGCAGTTATATTTTTCAAAAACAATTTCGACATTAGCTTTTTGAGGCAAAAATGGTCGCTTGAATTGGACCTGAACTTGCCTAAATGGCCTAAATGTTTCTGATTAAGTCTCAGATAGCTATATTTTCTTTTTCGGTTTATCTGAAAACAAAATTTACGACTGCTGTGGACTCATGGTCAGTTAATGTGCATTCATATTTTAAGAGAACATTAATATAACATTAACCAAAGATATTCAAAAAAGATGCAGAAGAGGCAAGCAAAGGAAAAAATATCAATTTTCGAGATTGCTCAAAAAATCCTGAAAATTAAAAAAGAAAGGACGAATTTTAAGGAATCGATGTCATCGTTGTCATCTTGGTTCTGCAACCCTAAGTATAGAGCCTTATACACGTGGTGGATTTACGGTGGGGATAATCGAGCTTGGATCAAGAAACTTACAGCTGTTCTGAGTAGACCCATCGACTGTGAGTGTGCAATCATGTGTTTCGGCTGGAAGGTATCGGGGGGACTGCACTGCATGTTGTAAGAGGCAGAAGATGGGAGAGAGGTCTCTCTGCTTTGACTCTTCTGCTGCTGCTGTTGGTCCAGTGACGTCATCAGCTGCCGAACTGTCTCTTCAAGACGACTCACTTTCTCGTTTGTCTCACCTCCGACTATCTACAGAATCAATCACTTTGAAAGGATCAGCATGTCAGTTCTTCACTTCATCGATATGTTGTGCTTCATTATTAAGACCTGCATGTAATTTTGGTCTCATTTAATTTCCAGAAGAGTCAAAAACAAAAAATACATGTAGGTTTAACAATTCGCTTCATCAGTATCAATTACTGAAAATTTATAGTACAGCCAAGGCTGAAAATTTTTGCGAAGGAGCTTTCATTTCTAAATGGGAATCTTTGTTCTGCAATTTTCTATGTTTTTTGGTTTAGTTTTGAAGTTTGTAACTTTTTTTCTGCTACTAATTGCTCTGATAGTTCAATTTTGCTCGGATATTTTCAGTAGCGGATTTAGGGGAAGGCCCCTTCGTACTATTTTGAGATATCCACTTCTGGATCACTGACCTTCAAATTTTTCTAAGGCGCCTTAGGCGCCAATATATACTAACTTCTAGGGGAGAGCGCGCGCCGACAAAACGCAATTTTTTGGTCGAAATTTTCCAAAATGTGCCCAAAAACGCCTTTTTTGGCCTGTTTTTTGAAAAAGTTGGGAGAGCTCCGAAAATCAATTTGGTCGACCTAAAAAAAAATTTGAGAAAAAATTCAAATTTTTTTTTTGAAAATCCCCTCCCCCTCGAAAACTCCTAGATTCGCACCTCGAGATTATATAGCTTTTAAGATTTTTTAAAATTTTCGGCTCTTTTTCCTTTTCCCCCCCACCTGCAATTTTTTGTAATTGAAGTTCCTGTTCAGTTTGTCCGATTGTCATGAAAATTGACATACAGACTGAATAGGCCATGACAAACATATTTAGTCTTCATAATTAACCTTGTAAAACCACTCGTTAGACCAAAAAATTCATGTTTGAATGAGGTGGGGGGGGGAAGGAAAAAGAGCCAAATTTTTTCAATACTGCAGTTTATTTCCAAGTCATAAATTTTTCTCGATACATTTTTTTCAACAATTTTTCATATCACATTTTTCACTTTGAAATTTATTTTATTTTTAGATACCTAGTTTTTTTATTATCTTTGACAAAATCATGAAAACTGTAAATGAGAAAGATGTTTTTGCAACTTGCCTGTTGCTGGTCCCTTTCCCTTCTCTGCTCCTTCATCATCACTTCCAGCTTCTTCTGCATTTCCAGCTGTTCCCTCATCAACTCCGCATTCTTAGCCTCCAACTGTCTAGTGTAGATGTCCTTGTCCTTATCACGAGTGGCAAGGGCAGAAGCTGACACCTAATGGAAGGTACGAAAGAGATTATAATAAGCAGTAAGAAAAATGAACACAAGAGAAGATTTAATACAAAATTATTTCGTAAAAGATTATGAAAGTTTTTGAAAACAATTTTGATTGGAAGGAAGACAAACAGATTAAACTTGTTATTTATGAAACTAATTATAAATACTTTTGCTTATTAATAGAATGTGTAAATTTTGATCACAAATAATTTCCTGGAGATAATTTCACCTGCAGTAAATTTTTGGCTTATATTTATTTTCAATCGAATTTTACTGATATCTGAGCAAACCAATAAATAACTCAGAAAATCATCTGAACTGTTAAAAATTCTGCCCGGAACTAACAGCTGTGAAAGTGTGAAAGAGGCTGCAGATTTTCAAAAAGAAAGTTATGATAATTTCAGAAGGTAGTTTCACATGAAAACATGAAAAATTGTTTTTTTTTTCGCCGAAAGGATCGGCAATGGAAGAGTCAGTTCCCATTTAAAAAAGTGGTTTGAAAAGTTTTATGCTTGGGCGAAATGAAAATTTAATTTTAATAAATTACCTGATGTCCGACTCCATCTTCGCTGTTTTGTTGTTCGACTTCTCTGATTGAACTGCAATTGGATGCGTATAAGGATGGTTTTTCGCTAGTGGGCTTGGCAGGGGGCTGGCTCTGAGACTGGCTAGGATGGGAGGTCATTCCGGCAGAAGAGCTGCTGCTGCTATGGGACTAATCAAAATTAAATCGATAAGCTTAATATTCAAAATCTATAAAGATACCAGGTAACACGATATAAATATTATAGATTAGTGATTTTTTCTCACAAAATAAATTTTAGAGTGATTTTTTTGTGTCAATATATTGTCAGGGGCTACAATATGTTTAGTTGTCAATCATCTTAGTTGCTATTCTTTATTTACTTATCTCTGAGATTTCTCATACTATAATTAAGTGTGAGTTTGGTACCTGCCTGTCAATCAGCCTAGAACTGTCTAGCTGTTATGTGTTGACCTCTAGTTCACTCTCTTATTTATGCGAACTAGAATACAGTCAATTCAGTATTTAACAGCCATCGTTTTATTTACCTTTGTTATGGCTCAGCCAGTGGATGGAGGGGGAAAAACCCCCTTGGAATTGTGGCATTCTGGCCTCCGACTCAGGCGGAACCACAACTCTTATGGGAACACTGGAAACAAAGATTTCATTGGGCAATGGTGGCGAAACATGGACTCGTCTCGTCGGAATTTTACTTCGCATCGACATTAACTGAAGTACAGATTAATGACCTGGGTGACATTGGTGGCAAACCAAGGGGAGAAGGTGAACGTACACTGATATCGAATCTGTACCTATGCCTGGGACACGAGGGACAGAGAGCCTTGCATAATCAGCATCCACATTTAGATATGGAAACAATACGATACCAACGTTTTTTGGATACCTGTGTAGCTCTTTTTCAGAAAGAGCGAAACGAAACGTACGAGATGTACCAGATGTTGTCGAGGAAACAAAAGGAGGGTGAAAGCTTAGAATCGTTCTATGCAGAACTTAGCGGAATGGCGGCAAGATGCAATTTGGGCACCCAGGAGCGGAAAATGGTGAGAGACATATTTATATTCAACATGAGGAACAGGGACGCGCAGAACGAGCTGTGTCGGGAAACTAAGACCCCGGAGGAAGCATTGAGAATCGCGATGTCGTATGAAAGAGGAGACAAGTACGCAAAGACTTACAAAAGCGTCGCATCCGGTTCCACGGGAACAAGTTATCCATCTCCAAGGGGTTCCCTGCAGATCAAAACGGAACCAATCAGCTATATTCGTGGATCCAGGGGACGAGGAATGCCAAGGGGACGGGGCCAATAACCAAATCGTGGAGGAGGACGAACACAAGAACGAATGCAAGATCGAAGATGTTACTATTGCGATCAACCGAACTTCACCCCAGAACACCGACAACGATGCCCAGCAAGAGCCGTCACATGCAATTTTTGCAAAAAGGTCGGGCATTTTGAGAGGATTCGCCGGGGAAAACGACAGTCGAGAGGGGGACAACCGGTTGGACTAATCCAAGGGGATGAGCTATTCGAGGAAGAAGATAACCCCCTCGGATGACGTGGGGCCCCAAGTTGCGGCAAATTCAGTAGGTTTCGTTAAACAAGAACACCACAGCTGGTCATCAGAAAGTTCAGACGACTACATGGTTATGGCAATTAGACGGAAGAACGAAACCTTATTGAAAGTTGCCGGAATTAAACTCAAAATATACATTAATGGACACCCGATGAACATTTGGATCGACAGTGGATCGCCGATATCCATTTTAACACTAGATGATTTGAGGAGAACAGTGGGAAGAGCGGGAATTAATTTAAAATAAGATGACGCCGACGATGACGAATTCCGGGATTACAGCAACAATCGGATCAAGATGTTGGGCAGAATGGAACTCGAGTTAGCATCAAACGGCTGGAAGACGAAAGCAGAAGTCCGAGTCATTGGGGGGACCAGACCATCCATCGTGGGACGTGATTTGATGGGAAAACTCGGACTCCAGTTGATGCAAGCAGATCCAAGGGGGGAAGTAATGAACATCCAGGGGACAGAAGACATTTCATGCGATGAGGGGCACGACAAATCGGAGGATGAGCAGATGGACCAATGGCAATTATACTTAAGTAAGCTATTTCCAAAACTTTTTACTAGCGTTGGAAAAATTAGGAACTACAAGGTTCAAGCAGAAATTTTCAAAAATCTTTTATCAGTGCAGCAGAAGGGACGGAGAGTGCCGGTAACGCTCCAAGAAAAGGTGGACAAGGAAATTGATAAGCTATTAACCCAGGGACATATAGAAAAGTTGAAAGAGTGTTCGGATCGATATTTTGTTTCTCCGATCGTCATCACCGTAAAAAAAGACTGGTCCGTGAAGTTAGCGTTGGAATCTCGAGAGCTTAATAAACAAGTTCATAAAAACAAATACCAAATGCCAAATATAGAAGAACTTGTAGATACAATAGAACAACTTATTTCCGAGAAAAAACAAGGGGAGGTGTATTTTATTACGATGGATCTAACATACGCGTATGGGCAACTACCACTTAGTGAAGAAACAAGCGTGCACTGTAACTTTTCTTTGGTGGGCGGACGGTCGACAGGAACATACCGATTCCGGACAGGGTTTTACGGGCTAACGTCCATGCCGGCAGAGTTTCAACGAGTAATGGATTCAATTTTGAAGGAATTCCCACAAGCGAACGCGTTTATTGATGATATTTTGGTTACAACCAAGGGAACGGAAGTAGAACATATCTCCTTGGTTGAAAATATTCTCAGGAAATTAAATCGCGAAAACATATCGCTGAAATTACCAAAATGCAAGTTTGCGAAACGAGAATGCGAGTGGCTCGGTCATCGTATAACCGAAACGGGGGTTACGCCGCTTAAACGCAAAACATCGCCGATAGACGCATTAAAGGCTCCTAAAACAGTCACTCAATTGAAATCCTTTATGGGCTCAATCCACAGCTTGCATAAATATTTACCAGCGATAGCGGAGATGTCAGCTCCATTAAGGCCACTTCTCAGCAGGAAAAATGAATAAAACTGGACCGCGGAATGTGAAAATGCTTTCCAAAACATTAAATTGGGGGGTCGCAAACATAGTTGAATAAAAACAATTTGATATTCATAAAGACATTAGAGTTTTTTGCAATGCAAGTCATAATGGCCTTGGAGCGGTTTTAGAGCAATTGGGTACAGAAGGGTGGCGCCCTATCTCTTTTGCATCACGATTCTTAAACGCAGCCGAGAAACAATATTCCATTAACGAGCTTGAAATGCTGGCGGTGGTATGGGAGGCCGAATATTTCAGAAACTACATTTTAGGAAGATCTTTTACAGTTAGCACGAACCATAAGGCCCTGATTTCCTTACTTAACGGGAATAACAAGAAAAACAAAACACTCTTTTCAAGACTGACACGTTGGCTAGACAGACTGATTCCTTTTGACTTTATAATAGAACACAAACCGGGCGCCAAGATCAGATTAGCGGATTACTTGTCGAGGCATCCTAGCGAACCCCCTAAACCGATAAGTCAATATGATAATTTGTTCACCGTGGCAAAAATCGCTTCAATTAGAAAAACCCTTGGTTTCACAAATGATTTAAAGTCCCTTGGTGAACGAAATCATCAGGACATTAAAGGAACTGGTTCTAAACAGTCTAGACAGCTTTCATACAATCAGAAGCGAGAACGGAAAACATGCCTACAAACAGCGACGGTTGAGGGCGAAAAGTCATGCGTGAAGACACCGACCAATAGGAAACGATCAATTTGCATAACGCGTAAATCAAGGAAATCCGAGGGACATTCAGTGTGCTCTATATATTGTTCCTTTGGAAGACGGTTAAATTGGCCTATATCAAATAATTTAAACAAAATGGATAGCGATTCGAATTGTTCTTTCCCAGTATTTGAAATTGAAAATGTTGAAATTGATTCCCAAACTAACTCTCCGAATAGACTACACTCTCAGATCAACTCTCCGCTTAGATTAGATGAAAACCTTTTGAGTAGCGATGAAATAACTGTCATTAACCCTGAAATTGTTGCCAATACTAAAAATACACGGGATTCAAAAATTAATACAGTACTATCCCAGGCGAGCTTTTTCCTACCGTTAAACCAAATCAGCAAATTATGTCTATCATTCCCCGTGATTGCAAGGTTATCAAGAAATCCCAAGCGTTACCAGAACTATTTAATTTGGAATTTGTTGCCTCAAACCTACCGGCAGATGTGAACTTAGTACGAGTTAAAGAAGCATTGGAGAAGAAGATTAACTTGAAAGAAGAACTCCTGACGATTGGGAAGTACTGGGCCCAATACGCAAACGATTTGTCATTACGGGACAATTGTGTGTGGTTAGAGGGACGGCTGGTTATTCCTTTGCCATTACAAGTCCCAATTGAGTCGCGGATGCATTATTACCATCACGGTAAAAAAACATGTATGAAGCAGCGCGTGACGTCTGGTATCCCTACATGTACCGCAGTTTGGCAGCAAAGGCCACGTACTGTCAGCAATGCACGGAAGCGGGTAAGAACCTAAAATCGTTATTACCCAAGGGAGACATCGGGAAGGTCCCTGAACCAAGGGAACCCAATGAATGTATACAGTTGGATTTCTGGGGGCCAATAAACTACTTAAATGAGAGTAAGAAAAATGTCTTGGTGGCTACGGACCGTTTCTCAAGGTGGCCATCAGCAATGGTTACTACCACTAACACGTCAGATAAAGTCTTAAAATTTCTCGATAAATACATAACTCAACATGGAGTACCTCGGAAAATCCACGTTGATCAGGGATCATGGCTTACATCTAATAAATTTAAAAGCTTCTGTAACAGCGAAGGCATCGAGCTAATGCGAATGAAAAAGAGCATAAGTCTCTAGAATCTATGGTCGATAAAGCGCTAGGCGCCCTATGATTTTCCAAAAATGCAACTACTAAATTAACACCTTTTGAAGCTCACCACGGCCGGGAGGCCAACACCGTTTTACGCAATCTTACGAAAAAACCAAGTTTGAAAAATTTGAATTGGAAGAACGTCTTAAGACAAAAATGTTTGTGTTTAGACGAAAATGATCCTGAGATGAGTAAAATTGCATTCCCTCAGCACTCAAATTGGGAGGAAAGGTCCGATTTGACATACGCTCCAGCTTTAAGAAGGGCCCCTATCATGCTTGATAGCGACCAGCAAATAGACACGTGTCCAGCGGAGGTATCGGGAGTTGCCCCAAAAACCCAAGGGAGTGGAGACACTGGCCCTAACATCCAAGGGAGTGGAGGTGCACGCGACCTGTATCAGCGTACCACCAGCAAGACCATAAATCGGTATAAACTCTTAAAATCTAATGTAATCTCTGAATCCGAACATACTATCAAGCTAAAAAACGGATCTGTTCTTAGGAAAAGTGCAGTGGCAGGAAAGCCAAAACCCAACCTTCCCAAGAAACGGAAGCGGGCTACAATCAAGGAGATGTTATCGAGCGCAAAGAAAGAAGCAGTCGAGAGGCCGAAATCAAAGAGGCCAAAGGCTATGCAAAAAGTATCGGTAGCCACCTTCCAGTCTGACAGTTCGGATAGTGAAGATTACCAGCCACTAAATATTATCCCTGCACGATTACCGATAGAAGTGTTAGCGAGACACGAAGCGATTGCGGCGGGACAAGGCCCAAGCGGCAGTACAGCAGTAGCAGAACATGGAACGGGAGCAAAAGCAAAATCTAGAGTGACGAAAGCGAAGCGAGGAAAAGGGGGTCAAGAGAAACAAGGAAAGGGGAGCCAAGACCGACCGGCGTTAGTTGCGAGAGAGTGCCTTATGAATAGTAGCCAAGAAGAAGACGTCAAATTTGGCAGTCAAAGTGAAAGCTCGGGAACCAGAAGGAGTACCAGAAGGAGAAAGCCAGTAGATAAAATGGGAGGAGTCATGATCGAAAATATCCAGGGGGCGGAACAAAAAGGAAAACATCCAGGGGGAGAAGGAAAGTGAACCTTATTTAAAACTCATTTAAAAACTCGTTACCCAGGGAGAGGGATGGCCATAAGCCTAAAACTCAAGTTTGTTGTATTGTGTTAGCTGAGGCGGCAGGTTGAAGGTTATTAATTATTATATTAAATATAAATTACTATGTATTTAAATTTTACATCCATACAGAAATGTCAGGGGCTACAATATGTTCAGTTGTCAATCATCTTAGTTGCTATTCTTTATTTACTTATCTCTGAGATTTCTCATACTATAATTAAGTGTGAGTTTGGTACCTGCCTGTCAATCAGCCTAGAACTCTCTAGCTGTTATGTGTTGACATCTAGTTCACTCTCCTATTTATGCGAACTAGAATACAGTCAATTCAGTATTTAACAGCCATCGTTTTATTAACACTTGTTTTATTTAATTTGTATTATAAAACTTTGAATTTTAATTTATGAGAAGAAAATCACTAACAAAAAATCTCCAAATGGAAAGACTGTGCAACTTGATGAACAATTAGACTTTTATCCCACGTGTCCATAAAGAATCACGACAGCTGATAAGACGACAAACGTTTTTGGTGGGACTTTTAGACGACCCTATACACAAATTCTCTTGTGTTTCTAAGAAACATACATAGCCGAAACTCAAACAGTTCACTTTTCATGCTTCAATTTTTTTTGTCTTGTCTTAATAGCCACCCGGGTTGACAGCCATGGACCTAAAATAGTGATCGATCAACTCCATGAACGAAAATTATTCAATGGAAAAAGCTAGTCATTCCAAATTCATTAAATTTCACAAATTCAGGGCAAAAAAATTATATTTTTTTTCTGAAGTTTTTTCTGCATAAATATGAGTATATTGTCATAAATTAATTTCCAAAGTAGCCCCAAAAAAGTTTTATCTTCATTTGAATCGTGTAGAACGAGCTTTGGATCTCAACTCTCAACAGTTTTTTTCTATGCAAAAATGTTTATATTTGGTGTACATAACGCAGTCCTGAGGATCAGAAAAATTTGTTTTATTTTGTTTTTCTAGACAGCTTTTTTGAAAAGGGCTCAGTTAAATTTGTTTCTGCATAAATGTATTTCCTAGGCTTCAGAACATGGATCCAATGAAAAAAATAATTCAAACTTAGTCAGCGAGAGAAGAAAAGTCTACGTTGTGTCTTTTTATACTTACAGAGGCAGTGCTGATTTGAGAGTTTCTCTGTTCTGTGATCATCATAGAGGGCGAGGATGGCGATGGAGATCCTGAGCCTCCTCTCAAATTCATGGGGGACTGCTCTAGTTTGGAGTTGCGTCTACAAGCAAATCTAGACGTGAGTTGTGAACTGAAGCTTCAGTTGAATTCTTTTTTCAATTTGGTTAGTTTTGATGAAACAACTTATATTTCAAATTCTATGAAAATGAAACATATTTTCCCGGGATGACCAAAATTACTAGTCATACAATTTCCATTTATGGAAAAATGCTAGTCATACACTTTTCATGCAATTCCATACGTACAGAAAATTGCATGAAAGGTCTATGATTAGTATTTTTTTCATATATGGAAATTGTATGACTAGTATTTTTCCATAAACCAAAAATATTGATTTCTTACATTTTAATTTCTCAAAATTTTGTGGTTGTGTTCGTAACCGACCACAAGTGACATAAACCTTGATTACTCAAACGTAGTAACCAACGGTTTGGCCTTCTCGCATTGAAAATGCATTGGAAACAGCCTGATATGTGTTATTTCGGTCTTAGACAAACAATATAAGGAAAGTATTGAACTTTTAAATTTTGGCAATAAATTTCAAAGATGATTATTTCTAAAATTTGAATTTTGAAATTACCAGACATTGATCAAGGCATTCAAAAACATGTCATACAAAAGAAAGAGGAGTTTTAAGCGTTTTTGAAAAAAAGTTATGAAGAGAAAAGGAAAAAAAATCCAATATTAGTATATCCAGGACTACGTTATACACACAAAAAAATAAATTTTGCATGCAATTTTTTTTTTTCAAAAAATGTTTGTTTGAATACGAAAATCAATTTGCGGTTGAAAAAAAAACATAAAAAATTTTTGGGGGCATTTTTTTTTCATACCATTTTTTTCCTTTTATTTATAAAGAGACACCAATTTCGATACCAAAACAACTATAAAATACCTTTAAAATTCGATTAAACTCATTTTGCAAAAATGCATGAAATTTGTATGACTAGCATTTTTCCATAGACTAAGTGTATGAAATTGTATGATTAGCATTTTCGGTCTATGGTGGTCAACCCGGGTTTTGAATACGCCAAAAAAACCATAATGTTAATGGCTTTCTGGTATATTTTTGAAATAGCTCTAAAACATGCAGCCTATGATACAGAAAAAAAATCAAAAATCAGTAATCCGCAATGTTTCAAATATCAAAATAGTTTAACAAATTAGTTTAAAGATTATAAAATTGAATATATTTTTAAGCAATTAGTAAATCTGTAGATTTTTATAGCAACAGACGTGCCTGCGAGGTGGATTGATAGGCGGGTTCGACAGGGGTACCCTGGAAGTGCTGGGTGACGCAGTGGCACTATGTTTGCGAAGTGCAACTGGCTGGTTTTTCCCCATATTCCCCAGCTGCGACGGAGAAGCTGAAACATAATACTGAATTTGACACCAAAAATTGTAATTTTGTCAACTGAAAAAAGGACAAAAATGGATTCAAATAAATTCAATCATCTAAGTGAAACCAAGAGTTGCATAGTACGTAGTAAAGATTTTGCTCTTGTAATGTTCTGCTGCTTTAAATCTTACAATTTCTGCTGCTTTATATCTTGCTAGTTCTACTAGTTTAAACCATACAATTTCTGCCTTATAAATCAGGGATGAGATGCAAATAGTCATTTCAAAGACAATATTAGAGATAGTAGTATGTTTTAATTTAAACCATCCCTTGTTCAAATGCCAGGGACAGAAACAGGTCACAAAACCTGATAATCTTCAATAATTTCTTTTTGGAATGATGTAAGCGAGTAAATACATTTGTTGGTTTTTCTATATTCAAGCGAAATTATAAATCACTTCTAGCCTTCCCCCCTCCCCCAACCACCACCACCACCACCCATCAACCATCACCTCCCACGCGGCTACAGGAATACACGAGTAGAGTAAACAAAGGGTTAAGATGTCTTACAGTGTGTGAGAAATTTGGACAGATGTGGGGCTACTGCGTTGGAATGGTCCGCCTCATTGGCCAGTTGCACGAAGTTCTTGCCCCCCTTATCCGTCAAGTAGGGGTCAGCGTCCCGCACCAGAAGGAAATCAACCATCTCCTGTAAATATAGGTTTTGGTTTGCTTGGAAAGCAGTTAAAATATTTGAATGGTTCGTTTTCACTGAGTTCCTTTATAGATAAGGAGGTTACAGATTACACGATATTATAGTTAGCAAGAAACTTTTCCAGGATTGGTATTTTTTAGCAGTAGCTTTTCACAGAATCAGAAATACGAATGAAAAAGCTTTCTAAAATATCTTTGAGGTGCAAAAAATTGTGCGGAAAAATGAGTACCCCACAATTACTGCCTATAGCGACTACGTGATATAAATTTTTGTCAATAATGTAAACACTTTCGCACTTGCCTTCAGTCCCCCTGTGCAGCTAGCATGAGAGGGGTACGACCCTGGATATCCCTTGAGTTGATATCCGCATTTTGGTTTAGTAATACATCCACCACATCAATCTGGTTGCAACAAGCAGCAACAGCCAGTGCACTTCTTCCGTCCTAAAAAAAACAAATAAAAACATTCGAAAAATTGCCATCGTTATTTATTCTTCTTCAGAAAAATATTATCGAAGAAATTTGTGTACTAAAAACATATTTGGCAAAGCTTACCTGATTTTTCATCTCGATAACAGCTGCGTTTTTGGCCATGATCTGAACACATTCTGTGTCCCCGTTGGCAGCTGAAACAAAAACCCCCTCGAATGATTAGTTCATTCGTCTTCGAAAATTCAACACAGCACGAAGTTTCAATAAAAATATCTATCTCTTTTTTAGATTGCAAAAAGATCACAATTTTGCCAAAAAATATTTCTAAAATTCCCCGTTTCAATTCAAGCGACAGAGATTTTTTGTTAGGACGACAGGCAACCAAAAATTGTTCTATTCCCAATTTTTTCAAACAAAAAATCGTATCAAGTTTTGAAAAGTGTTTTGAAAACGGAAGGATCTCTTTGACTACTAACGAATATCCCCCTATAAAGTAATAAACCACAAAAGTTTATACCTAGTAACGAATATGCCCCCTTGCAAAAGGGGATATAGTTAAAGAGATCTAAGCGGAATGAAAAGGAAGAAGCTACCTGCAATGTGTAGGGGCGTCATGTTTGTCTGGTCTTGAGCCTCTATGTTAGCCCCACTTTGGATCAGAGTCTTGCCCACTCCTGTCTGTCCAGAGACCAACGCCCGATGCAAAGGGGTGCGGTCTGAAACACAGGATTGAATTTCTTATACTATCGTGGTGGAAAAATTACGTTCATCAATTAAGATTTGACTCGCTACAGAATTCAATGGATAATAATCGATTATATTGACAATTTTTAGTCAATCTCTGTGAAGTTCTGAAAAATTGGTAATAAGAATTTGAAAATGGATTGTAATGCTTTTATTTTCTATGGCATCAAAACTTTCTAAAAAGTGCGTAAAAACCCAGTTACCCCACATACATTATACCCCCCCCCCCACCCCAGCCAAAAATTTCCCAATAATTTTGAAAAAATATATAAGCAAACATGATCCGAGACTTTTATAGTCGCGTAGAGTTTTACAATAAGCATTATGGTGCAAATTCTAGTGCAAAATTTGAAACCAAAATGCTCCCCCACATATGGGTAACAAAATTTGCTTGAGAACAAAATTTAAAAGTTTTGCGACAGTTTTTGGAGGTTTTACCATTTTAAAACTTTATCAAGCTGATTGACAGACTTTTTGTGATATATCTCCATTAACTCGTAGGTTTTCGCGTGATTCTGGAAATTTTAAACAAAGCCAAAATGACCAATTTTTGGGGAAACATTTTGGTTTCAAATTTCGCACAATAATTTGTACCATAATATTTTTGGTAGAGCTCTAGGCTGTTTTAACTTTACTCCTTTTTTCTATTCTTAATCCCCAATTTAATCTTTTAAACATTTGCAAATCTTTTTTTTTAATTTAGCTTACAATTTTTGAAGACAAAGCAGTGTATTAAAATCTTGGCAAATGATTTTGACGCAATACACGTGGCATAAAGTAAAAATGACTTTAACTTTGGCGAGAAAAACTTTATCTTATTTTAAGTTTTCGGTTCAAAATTTTTGATAAATATTTTTAATTTTTTGCCCCATTCAGCAAATGACCTTTTTCCCTTGTTTAACCCAGTATTTCCACATTACCCTCTCCTCCAACCCAAGTTAAGTTTCACCCTCACCTCCACGTATACAGTCCCCTCACCCATGTTCATACCTCCCTCCCCACATCTAAGGGGAGAGGCGGGGTAAGTGTGGGGGATAAACGTGGGGGTGCGGTAAATGGGTGACTTGAGGGAATATGTTGGGGTAGGGGCAGAGCGTGAACGGATAGGGAGGGGTTCGTAAGCGGGAGTTATATATAACACTGAGCTTGTTTAGATTCCGTGATCTGAAAAAACGTGACCTTTTTGACTGGGCAAAAGTAACCGAGAGAGAATTCATCAAAAACACTTTTTGTGTTTTCATGAAACTAATTGATTATATTGACCATATAATCAATTTCGTGTTCCAATTTTGCATCAGTGTTGAAGTATAATGACATTTTATAAACTTTTATATTAAATGTTTTTTCCATGAAACTGCTAATCACAATTTTTACCTCTAATTGATGGCGTCACGAATAATGCTACGACAAAGAAAACTTAGCAATCAGAATTGAATGTTCAAACTCGAATGTTGGTAAAAATGCGAAAAAAATATCAATAAATATAAACAAGACTGCTCGTATCAGGGCAAAACCCTGAATGTTCCGACTGCCTTTTAAGGTCTATGGAGCAGAAGTAACGTGAAAATTTAAAGGTAAAAAAAATATGTTTTTTTTTAATTTGAGATTTTTTGTAAAAACATCCCCCAGACGTCATATTAAGTACAATTGATAAGTTTTGCCCCTATTATTAAATCAATTATGGCATATAAGCTTCCTTGAACCAATTTGGACCGATTTCTAAGACAGATTAAATCTCGCTTACGCGTTAATAGCGCTAAATAGATCGCGCGTTAATTGTCCCAAATTGACCAAAATGGCAATCTTTAAACCCCCATAATTTTACGAAAAAAAAATCACAGGTAAAATATCTTTTCAAATTTAAGCTCAAGACAATACCTTTCGAATGATATAAAAATTCCGTCAAAAAGTCGAAATTTGTCTGAAGAAAAAAAACCCACCCCGAGCACAAATGTTCCGTTACTTTCGTATCGAAAGTCGGAACAACAAGGCTGCTTGTATACCAATACAAGACCCTAAAAGTTTTGTTTGCCGCCTAATTGGTATTCAAAATTTGTTGGTAAACTGGTTAAAAAAACGGAAACTTTATAAAATCTGAAACAGTAAGTTTAAATTTTTGTGACACGAAATTCATACTAGCAATTAGTTTGCCTCAATTCATTTTGGAATTGTTTTTTAGAGCTGAATAACTTGCCACGAACAATTGAATCGCATTTGCTTTGAGAATGATAATTAAAATCTTCACAGCGCAAATAAATTAGTCCAGAGCTTGGTCATATCGACAATTTTCAAACTCCCAGAACTCACAAAAAACAAATGAAGATAGAATATAGTCTTACAAGTAATCCAGGCAAACCAACCAAAGCAATAATAACCTATTTCAAAACAAGCTGATAATGCAATTGGACTTACACATATTGTGTTTTTACAAATGACGAAGATGGACTCTCAGAACATACATGTATGTTGTGCTCTCACAACACATATGTCGCGCTCTTGATACATGTTACAGTTCTGCGGTTCCAAATATGGCTTTGATGATGCTTAACTTAGTTTTTATCGCTCTGTGATGTCATATTTGTTTAAAATATTGTCAAAAAACGATAGACAGCGCACAGCCTTCAAAAAACTTTTTCCATAGACAACTATAGTTGGCAGGTCCCAAAAATTTTGGGCCTGCCGGTCCGTAGAATTGAAAATCTTTTCTGCTGCTCCATGTCGAATGCAAGCTTTTTGCTTTAAAAAATCTTATAGAAAAAATCGAAAAAACAGTGAATATTTTTTCTAAAGTTTTTTTGAAATTTATCCCCCACAAGCTAGGTAAAGCACCAAGTGATATCACTTGAGCGTGGAAACACTTTAATATGAGCAAGCTTCTTGCCTCAGTACAATTCGGGAACATTCAGTTTGCCGCTTACGGTTTAAAAGAACAAAATATAAGACGTGTTATTATCCCAATTTGAAATAAAATCGTCAAAGTAGTCCCTAATTTAAAACAGAGATGTGGAGATAGGGTATTTTAAATGGTCCTTTGGAGGGTGTATCAAAAACTACATTCTAGCTTTTTAAATAAATATAATATCTGTTTTTGAAGAAAAGTAAAGGCTATCAGCCTTAAGGGTCTTTTCGGTTTTATTTCGGTTATAAATTGGGAGAAAGTTAATTTAAAATGCTATATTTTAATGTTATCAGATTGGTAAAAATGAAGCAGACCTCCTTAATTTAGCTTCAAATTGACTCTTTCTCGTTTTTCCCCTTTTTTGCCGTTTTCTGCACTTAAATTTTTTTTGAAATGCGCCTTCAATTGTCGTTTTATTTACAATTTTGCGATTTTCTAGATTGTATTATCGCTCGTGATATCACCCCACATTTGTAAACAAAATCAGTCCAATTTTTCAAAAAAAATCATTTTCTTTTTCCATCATTTAGTATTACAGAAAAGACCCGGGTTCGCTTCCCTTAAAAGTGTCCAAAACTACCACAGCCGAAAATACAAACCAAATTTCTCACCTAAAAACTGCTGCCCGATGCCAATGTGAGTTGGCTGAATAACTGCAAAGTTTGGAGGAAAATAATTCGAATCTAAATTGTCTCGTGACCTGTCGAAAACTTGCTGCACTCTTGGAAAATTAATATAAGCGGTTTTTATGGCTGAGTTATTTTGAGGCTCAACATATTGAGCTACTGAGGCGTTTGCCAGATTGTTGTTTGTTTGGATACTTTGGGGATGTCCAGAACCAGAATTATCCATACAAACATAACCGGTTGTGCCGGACATGTTATTGTTCACTCCATTAAAATTCGCCATCTGTCGCTAATTTTTCAAAAAATACCAAACAAAATGACTCAACTGTCACAAGTGATTTTAATAATCACGTCAATAAATGATACAAATATTATAAATAAATTTGCTAGGATTTTGAAAAATAATAAATGTTGTCAAACTTTAAGAACAAACCGGAATTTTTCATTAAAAATTGAATATTAAATTATTTTTTGTTCATTCTTTTGTCGATTCAGATGGACAAGTGCTTGTTAAAAACAGACTTCAGTAGCATACAGAAGATGTTTTAAATGTAACAGAAAAGAAAAAAAGATGTATCCATATTTTGTCTAATATGCTGTTGAAATTGTTTTAAAATAAAATGTATGTTTATACACTGTGCGCTTTGCTTTATTGGTCTGAAAACGGTCTGAAGTAGCAAAAAAATACAATGCACGTACTTAAACCAAAAAGCAGATATCAATCAAATATGACCACCAATAATAGATGATTGCTCATTTTTGTTGGGAAAAAATGAGTGTTTAAATCTATAAAGCGCCTATAATGCTCAGATCTACCACGCCAATAGCGTAAAAATTGTATAAATGAAGTATTGTGGCCAACATAGAGGTTGAATTGTAGTAAAATTGATTTATTTTCCGCGATTTGATCTTGAAACATTTCTTAAAGAAAAAGCGCCATGAAAATTTATCTAAGGTCACTTTTTTTTGGAGTCGATTCTGAAACTGCCGGTTTCAAAAACTATCAAAATGAGGTGCGCTTGTAACAAAAATCAGCTGGTATTCAACCAGGGGCTCCATGGATAGTCCAATAGAGCGAAATCATTGAACTTTAAAGAAAATACATCTTTTTATTTTAAGATTTTTACTGCCTGCACAAATAATTCAATCTGATAAAGGTGTTCCGACAGCAACAGCAAAGACAATTGCCCTGCTGTTATTCCGAGAGCCAAACGAGCATGCCTTTTTGCTATGCGACTAGCCCAGAATACTCTGACTCCGATCATGTAAAATAAAAATTATATGACAAATATATTTTTTTCTCAATTTCATCAAACTACTGATGTATTCCTACACAAGTGAACTTGTAAGAGCTCGGAAAATCAATTTAGTAAAACTGAAAAAAAAAATCGAACAAATTTTCCGAAAAATTTCTGAAAATCCGCCCCCTCCATCGAGAAAACCCTAGATCCGCCCTGAGTAAACATAAGACAACCTGTAGGAGACAACATAATGTAGGAAACAAACATAATGACCGGAACTCTAGGATCCGCTAACTTGACTTTGGAAGATTTTAGTCCAAGATTTAAGGATTTTAGCTAGCTTTTTCATTTTTTAAAATAACTTTCGTTATATGCTATAAAATTAGCAAACATTTCCACGATCTGCAACTAAAATTGAACCCACTTAGTAGCTTTTCATGAGGATATTCCAGCCAGCATATTGAGCAACCCATGAAAGCAGAACAACAAGAGCAGAGGGCTGAAGTAGCGATAGAAAAACATAATCGGTTCAAGTTCAGTTGAGAAATAGTATTTTGGTATGTAAGCGATACTGATCGGGCAAACAGCTTATTCAGCAACAAGTCAATTAGCCCCACTCCCCCACCACAAGCTCCAGTATAAAAAACGAGCTCTCAAAATTCTACTAAGTAGTTTTCACCACCCACTAAGAGGTTAAAAATATTTTTCTCTCTTCCCTGTTTCATCCTTCTGCTCTGCTTTTACTCTAAGAGCATCGTAATGCTCCTGCCTGGCTCTGTTTTCACTCTCATCAAAGCAGTATTCAGTCAGATCAGAAAAGCGCTCTCGCCAGCAGGCTTTTAGTTGAGAGAAGAACTCACTGCTTAACAGATACCAAGAGGAAAAAAGCAGAAAACACTTATGATCTCAGAAAAGCTTCAAATGTGATGAAAAACAGAGAAGCTATTGTAAGCAACTTCTCTCGCTTTTCTCTTCTCTCTCTCTGTCTCTCTGTCTTTGAAAAATCACCCTTGATAACCTAAATACTTTTCAAGTTTTTGAGCTATTTCATTCGAATATGAATAACGACTCGGTTTTAAGTTTCACATCACACTCATTTTTTGAACGATTCCTTAAGAGTACGTAGTAAAGCATATACAGAGTTTTAACGCTCAAAATTTTGTATAAAATCAATTTTATTTCAACAGAATATTTACGCCAATAGTTTCTACCACTTTTAGAGGTGAAGTTTTTGTTAGTCTGTGACACTTAGCAAAATAACAAAATCAAGCTAACTCCTCAAAGTGCAACATAATCCTAAAAAAAAAATTTTTTTTTAAATTAGTGGTCAAAGCCAAAAAACATATTAAATTTTCAGTTGTTAAAGAACTCAAAAATTCTTCAATGTTTCCTAAATCTATTTCCGACTTCTTCCAAATGATTTGCAAAATGACACAAAATGAAATCAACTACGTTCTTAATAAGTATCTAGAGACTGCAATAATAGGGAATAATGAGTTAATAAATATAATATTCAGATTTTTTTCATAGTAGTGGTTTCCTCCATCGCTTACATTCTCATCAAAAATTTCAAACTTCTAACTATCTCATCAAAATTTCTATAGTTTTAAAAATTGAGTTTTGTTAAAAACATAATGGTGGTATTATACCGACATCCCAATTGTTTTTTTTTTGCGCCAAGAGACGTCTGAAAACAGGCATAATTTGACTAACGACAACCTCCCAGACTGGGTTCTTTTTAATGGTGGTATTATAATGGTGGTATATAATTATTTTTAATGGTGGTTAAAAACATAATGGTGGTATTATACCGACATCCCAATTGTTTTTTTTTTGCGCCAAGAGACGTCTGAAAACAGGCATAATTTGACTAACGACAACCTCCCGACAGCTGTTTTTTTTGCGCCAAGAGACGTCTGAAAACAGGCATAATTTGACTAACGACAACCTCCCAGACTGGGTTCTTCAAAAGATCATATAAGTAACCATAGTGCAACCCCTCGACACCGTTGGCTATTCGTTCTTTTCATTATTCTTGCCAAACAAGATGATGCCGACCCAATTATTTCCATATTGTCAATTGACTTATTGTCCATTGGCTTAATACTTCAAGATTCAGGCTGCCTATTGAAATTGAAAAAAGTGGTTTTTATCTTATCAGGTGATAACATAAAAAGAGTAGCGTTTACGTGCTAATTAAATCAGAATAAATTGTTTCCAATATAGGTTCACAAAGATTAATATAAAATAATAAATATATATATTTAATATATTATACTAATCTTTGTGAACCTATATTGGAAACAATTTATTCTGATTTAATTAGCACGTAAACGCTACTCTTTTTATGTTATCACCTGATAAAATAAAACCACTTTAGCTTTAGCCAACGGTGTCGAGGGATTGCACTATGGTTTAGATGATCATTTATTATTTGATCGAAAGTTCGAAAGTGTCAAGTTTACCCAAAAGATCCGAAAAAAAATGAACTTGAAATGTTTTAGGGGATAAGTTTAGCAAAAATCTAGTAGAAGAAAGCACTTTCAGCTCATTTATGACAATTTTCAGACAATTTTCAAACTTTTCATACTTTCAGACAATTTAATCCATCAATTTTTCTCCGTTTAAGTTCCGACGTTGTTTTCGATCAAAAAATTCCACTTTGATTTTCTTGATCGATATTGAAAAAATGTTAGTTGGAAACGAGTTCACGTAACTTCGGAAATAATTGACTAGGGTTTAATAATTAGGGGTTAAGAGGCGCGGGATTTTAGGACAAGGAATGAGTTTAAAAATCTCCATCCATTTCAGCCTGTTTGCGGTACTTATTGCGCTTTATGTGAAGTTTTTTTTGAACGTAGCGCATGCTCAACGGCCATCCGAAGCATTACTAGTTGAGAAGCATATCTCTGTTATATGCTATCAAAGGTCCATAGAGAAGATTTCAGAAAAAAAAAATTTCAGTCCAGAGCTAACGTAGCTGACATAGAGCAGCCAGGCGATTCAGCGCATTGCACTGACAAAAACATTTTTTTTTTCTTTAAATCTCAAAATGAGTTTTATTCGCTTATAAAGCGTTGCATGTAGCGTAACTGTTGAATGTCTTTCATTATGAAACTTACTTTTCGAGTCTATGGAGTTGATTTTGGAATGGGGAGAGAATGAAGATTGGGTGGGAGAAGTAGTCGAATTCATGAGGAGCAGTGACAGAATGTCCAAGTTGCCAATCTCACAGCACAAGTGAAGGCTTAAACACATTTTGAAAAAAAAATCGACGCATTTGGAAACATTACCTCCAATTTGAAATTTAATCTAGATTTGGTTTTTAATCTTTATAGCTCTATTTTGACTCAACTATACTTTTCCATCACAAGAATAGGTTTAAAAGTTAAGGTTTTTTTACTCATAAAAGATGCATCATAACTTGTTTAAAGTAAATTTATATACCTTTGTAAATTTATTTTCCGCAAAAACTTCACAGGCAAAGTACATTTATTTTCAGTCGAAATGTTTGTGATGAAGAGAGGATCTGTACAGCGAAACATCTAAAAATTACGGCAGTAAAAGCTTTATTTTCAGCGCATTAACAGTTTTATTTTATGTTCCGACCATTGAAAATGGAAGGAACTTTGTATTCGGATATAATTTAATTTTATTCTTTTTCTTAACTTAAATCAGATGCAACAAACAATCGTCTTCTGAAAGGGTCGAGTAATATATGATATTAAAGCTCTTTTAGTCGTGATTTAAGGGACGTTAAAAAAGTTTTACAAAACTTTCTAAGTGGTGAGGAAAATCCTCTCGACTTTATTGCTTTTTGGTCTAGTTTCAAGCGATTAGGGCGAGGGAGCAGGATTTTTTTCAACCAAAAACACATACCACAAAAACTCATCGTACTGGTTAGAGTAAATTATCCCATTAAAACCCTTTCAGTCCTGGTTTAGAGCTTTTCAAAAAATGTCTCAGTGGCGAGAAAAACCGCTTTTATTTGTTTGAAATTTAGTCTAAGCTCGAGCGAGTAAAGCAAGCGAGAGGCCTATTTAGAGAAAGATGAGCTATAATATTTTAAATGCTTTTCGATTAAATTTTTTAGCGCCATGTTTGGGATGAAAAGTTTTGAATGTTTGGAATGAAAAACAACCTCAGTGAAAAAAGTGAAAAGAGATACAATTTTTTTTAATATTTGTTTTGTTTGTCTAGGCATTTTTTGACAAACACTAACGCCAATTTTACTATAATTGTCAATTGAGCAGAATCTATATGTATTCGGCATATCCTTTTATCACATTTGAACAAAAAACACTAACTCATAAAAAACAATACTAATTCAAAAAAAGAACAAAGTTTTTTAGTCATTTTCCATGTACAATTACCCTAGTTCAATTTGCCTAGCTTACTTTGACTGTCCACTATGCCTAACTTTTGAGTTTTTGTCATATCTTTTCATCACACTACGATCAAAAACAATGATTGAAAAATTTTTCGATGAAATTTTTCGATGAAATTTTCGAAGAATATGGTCGGATTAGTCTATGCTACTTGCACAGCAAACCCCTATTCTTGATTTTTATAGGTGAATTTAAAAAAAAAATCAAATTTTTGAAAGCTATTAAGGCTTTTTCAATGTATTGTGGTTACTCAGCGGAAGTTATGTGATTTTTATATTAAGCAAACCTAAAAAAAATTATTATTATTGAAGGCTGTTTGCAGCCAAATAAGAAGTTTTGAGGCCGGTTATAATTGAAACCCGGCAAAACAGCAGCTCTATAAGATGAAATGAGAAACAGTAGAAATAAGCCTAAGATTTCTAAATTTCCTCGCGGCTGATTCAAACCTGGGGCCTAGATATTAAGATTTCATGCCCTAACCTCTCAGGTAAGGACACTTATCAATCGGGCACGGACACATATGTACTAATGTACTACTAAAAGCGTGCGGGAAAAACACGAAATTTTTTGGCCAAAATTTTCTAAAGTGTCCAAAAGCGGCTTTTTTGACTTTTTCAAAAAACCTTCTCTGCGGCACTAAACAAATTCTCAAAATGATTTCATTATAGTGTTTTCGGAGCGCTCGTAAAACCAATTTGCTCGACTTGAAAAAAGTTCGACAAAATTTTACCACAAAATGTTGCGATCACGCTTATTTTTAAGAGTATTACAAAAAAGTGAAGTTTTCACCTCCGTTAGTAAAAACAATAGTGGAAAAAGTTAAAACCAATTTGCTCGACTTGAAAAAAGTTCGACAAAATTTTACCACAAAATGTTGCGATCACGCTTTCTTTTAAGAGTATTACAAAAAAGTGGAGTTTTCGCCTCCGTTAGTAAAAACAATAGTGGAAAAAATGAATTTTTCGAAGCGAGAAAATAAGGTATGCAAGGGCAAAAAAAGAAATATTTATCTCCAAATGGCGCTATGGTTAGTTTTTCCTGATTGTCGGAACCTTCCTCTCTATATTTGTTCAGTAGAGGAAATGAACATTGACTCCTAATTCCGGTTCTTACAAAAACTGACTAGCTAACCTCTTTAATGACAAAAAGTGATGACTACCGCTCTTCCATACGTAGAGATAAAATTCTGAAATGCTCTAAATTTAAATATTTTAAAATTAACAGCCAAAAAATGGCGAATGTTCTTTGCTCATGATTGCATAAAACTATTCGTTAACTTAAAATTATGCGTTAATTTGAAAGATGAACTTTTTTGAAATGCAGCCGAAAAAATTTTTTTTGGCATACTCTACTAAGTTAAACATACCTCGAGTCGCCTTTTGGGTTGAGTTTTGTTGGTGATATTTCAGTCGGGTACGAACTTGTTTGCCCAGATGTTGTGTTATAGTCCGAATAGTCCCGAAATGAAGTCAGTTCTTCTTTGGGACAGGTGAGTGGGAACTGGTTTAGTAAGTTGCTAACTTCTGTCGCTGAACTGAGCTTCACAGCTTGGTATAATTCCTCATCAAATTTGGTCCATTGATCTACTTCACTGCTCGTCTGCTAACCCAGAAAAATGATAGATTTTTAGATAATTAAAAGTAAAATCAAATAAAAGTACTAAAATGGACAATGGCATTATTAACATATAAAGTTTCAAGAAATCAAGTCATGAAAAAGCGACAAACAATTTAAGTATTGAGTATTAATTATCAAAAACATTTTTGAAAAATATGGCTATCAGAGCCTAAAGCAACGTATATTTTTTGTCAAAAATTTTACTGTAAAATTTCAATATATTTTGACTGCAGTGTTAAATTTTGCAATGATTTTTAAATATTCAATTATTTACAATATATTACTCAAATTTACCTCTCTGAGCTCACGAAGCTTGTCGATTGAATAATTAATATTTCAGTGGCTCTGCTATGTCTAAAACCACTGGATGCATAAGATTAAAAAACTTATTTTTATCAACATTGTGTTTTGTTTGACTTTTAAAATACAAACAACACAGCCGCCTGATTTTCCACAAAAGAAAAGTGTCCTTTTAGAAAAAAAACCTTTGAACAAAAAGGTTAAAAGTAAAAAAAGTGAACTTGAACAGGTGTTTGTTCATGCTATATCCAGGCAATAACACATAAATCAGTCATCAGTCACGTTTAATGAGTACGAAGCAGATATAGTATTAATCCATTGTCCGTTTTTTACAACATTGATTCCAATTAGATAAAAGGACTTCTAGGAGAACGCTGTTGTGTTTAAAATTATTGAAAAAACAATGTCAAAAAAGATGCAAGGATGTTGAATTGAGAAGGATGTTTCAACTGTCCATAGCGCCAAAATCTGTTCCACGTTTTTAATGACAAAAAGTACCGCGCAAACTTGAAAGTAAAACCTAGTTTTCTAGTTTAAAAATAGAGTAATTGGGTTAATATGTACTTGGTATAACACATTGGCATTTTTTCTTGTTGTAAAATTTTTAAATCCTCTCTTAGAATTACTTTCCTTTTCTTGAGTAAAATCTTTTAAGATGATCTATAATTCTTCATTAGTAGGTTTTCAGATCAGAAATTTTTTGTTTATTATCTGAAAATTATATCAAAATTCAAGCATATAGAGTATGCGTTTCGGTTTCGACAAAATATCGGCCATAAAACTTTGTTTTTTTTTCTGTGCAACTTTCTAATACATCAAGGATAAATTAGTTTAAAAAACTTCCAATTAATTCACATTACAAAAAATTTCGAAATTTTTAATAAAAATTGTTTCAAAATCTTGGCTTTTATGCACTTGTGCGTTTTACGGCTTTTCTTTCTTTATTCAGCATTATGAGATAAAAAATTTTGGTATGTGCCTGCTAGTGTCTAACAGGATTTATGAAGTACTGAAACATCTACATTAGAAGGAGTGCTTCGAAAATTAACTCCCAGCTCTGAAATAACAATAAAAAAGGTACATCTGAAAGTTTTTTCAATTTGGATCCGCACTCAGTCAAGAGAACTGATGACTGATTAAAAGTTAAATTTGCGGATTGTTTCTATAAAAATCTAAACAAAATGATTCATATCGATTAAAATACTAATCAAATCCTATTTTTAATCAATTATAATTCATTTTGAAATATTTTTTTGCCCAATAAAATTTCGATTTTTATTACTGAAGTTTAATTGATTAAAAGCAATAATTTATGTTTTTCATAGAAATTATGCTTCTCATAGAATTTGACTATTGCAAAAAAAATTGAGAAACGTTTTAACAGTATTGGAATGAATCCCATTATGTAAATATTTTGCGTTTCTTTTCTCAAACAAATGCTGTTCATAGTTATGCAAGTTTTTTTTGCTAAATTTTGTGTTGGTTAGGCAAAAAAAAATTTAGTTAGGCAAAAAGAGATAACAATCTGTTCTAATCGATTTCAGCAAATTTCTTCTAGATGCCATCCATCCCCCACTGCTAAAAGTTCTGAAAATATCGTGATAAGTCAAATACAGATTAGATCCTCTCAGATCAGATTACAAAAATTACCGGTTGCAGTGCAAGAAGCGCAGAAAAAATAAACCTCCATTTTTTTGAAAATCTTGATTTTTTCCTTTTGCAAGTTTGGTTCGTTTTGAGAGTAAATCGATAAGATAAACTCAAAGTATCTGAAATATATATCAACAGGTTTCATTGAACAGAGTAATTTTTAAAAAGCTAAAAAATAAAAAGAAATCCTTTTTTCAGTTTTTTTAGATTCAGTTTTATTAGAGCTTTACAAATCTTTTATCAAGGTAAGCACTGCCTAAGCTTCGAAAACACATTTCTACGGCTAAATACATGTCGACGGATAAATACTTCAAGAAACAATTACAGCGTAAAAATGAGCTGTTTGCTGTACTCGCTTGCTTAACTGTCTCCAAGTTAGACAAAAATTAAATATTTCAAACTCACTTTTCTCAGTTTCAATGAAATTGCTGGGAAAATTTTCTAATGTCGATTGACTCAGGGCTGCATTGATTTCAATTATATATATCATTCGGCCCATTGTGATCATTAATGCAGCAGGGACGAATTTTTTGGCCTTTTTTTGCAAATTTCCTGAATTTGCGAGAGCAAAAAGTAAATACAAGATTAAAACATAACGGAAGAGAGTGTTTCCCTTCATTTTTAGAGGCCGGAACAGAAAGTGTTAATTGAGAATCAGTGAAAATGGGAATTAGTGTCAACTGAGAACAAGCAAAAAGCAAGGGCAATTTGAAATATTTGGCAATTGAGAACCAGTGACCATCTTGACCACTGACAAGTAAAAAATTTCAGAACAAATAAAAACTGAAACCAGCGACATTTGAACTAAGTGACAAGTGGAAAATGGTGACAGTTGAGAACCAGTGACAATTAGGAATAACAAGAACTTCGAACTGAGAAAGATTGAAATTCGAAGTTTTTAATTACCTATTCATTTTCTCAGCTCATGTCAAACAATGGGAAGAAGGCATCGGGGGGCACCCTTTCTTCAAATTTTGCTAGTTACTTAGTTGCTTGTTACTTAGTGACCTCTTTTTTGGACGAACAATCCCAAACCCAAATTGTCTTTATGGGCTTCTGTCACCACAATACGTTTTTGGGAGGGAAATGGCTGATAAATAACTAGTGTTACGAATTGAATTGCATAAACCTAAATCCTTGATCTAAAAAAACTTGACACAATGTTTCAAACAAAAAAAAACACTCAAACAATTTACCTCGCATCTGATCACTGACTTTGGTTTTTTTTTGATTTTGGCGTCAAACTATTTTGAAATACTTTGTAGCAATTTAAAGATTTTTCAGCCAACTCGGTGTGTTGAAATTTCTGTGCCGAGGCATTTTCTTTATTCCAAATATTGGTGAATATTGCAGCTGAGACCACCTCATTGTGTGCTCAATAAAACTACCTACGATAAAATTTGATTATCAAGATTGAACGAATATTAAAAATAGGATTATAAGGAAGATTTAAACAAAGAATGGACAAAATGCATCTTAAAAAGGAGGGGTATACTCAAAATGTTACAACAACTGAGAAGTGTCAATTTCTCTTTTTTAGTTGACTACTCATGCTAAACCGTTGGCTGTAACTAATTTGTAAATCTGAACCTATTGAGCACAAACTGATTAAAGTAATCGATTTTATATTTGACCAAAAGATTTTTTTATTGAAGAATAAATCTGTTACAAATCAAACATTTGATATCAGATGATTTATTCCATCGGTCTTTTAACTTGAAAAAAAAATTAAACTATCAAATTTCTTTGTGATTGTTTTCAAAAGATAAATCGAAAGCGAAAGTTTAATAACACAATTATGGATCCAAAAAATCCAAATACTGGAAAAAAGAGCCAAACATTTTGTCATCGGCCTTATCTGGACTCGCTACGAGGCTTTGCTTGTTTTATCGTCATTTTATTTCATTGCGAATTACCTGCTTTTTCAAACGGATTTCTGGGTGTGGACATATTTTTCGTATTATCTGGATATCTCATTACCTCAATCTTACTTCGCAAACTCTATTACGAACACAGATTAAAATATTGTGAGTTTTACTCCCGAAGGTTCCAAAGACTTTTCCCTGCTTCTAGTTTAACTTTGATTTTAACAGCAATAATTTATCGTTATGTCGAATTAAATGAATACGTGAACAAACATACAAATTCGTTCATAGCATCTTCATTTTATTATTCCAATTGGTACAATCTTAGAGTCGCTTCAGATTATTTTACCGATAAAGGTTCCGACCAGAGTCCTGTTGTACATTTTTGGTCGCTCTCAATTGAAGAACAATTTTACCTTTTTTATCCAGTCGTAATCGCAATTATTTACAAAATCAGCAAGAAAAAAACTTCAATAACAATTCTTGTTTTTGCTTCTCTTTTCGTTTTTTCATTCTCTTTAAATATGAAGCTCTATGAAAAAAGTCATATGATGTCCTATTTTTCTACCTGGGGACGCCTGTACCAACTTTTTGCAGGTGCTTTGGCAGCCTCCATTTTATTTCACAGGGAAATTACGGAGACCAACTTTTGTCACTATGAGTTCCGTAATTCTGAAAAGTTTCGTCTTTTGATCACCGCTATAGAATCAGCTATTGGGTTTGCGATAGTTACCATGTTGATTTTTATTGCTAAGTCAACTTTCAATGCATTAATTTTAGGATTTACAGCTACAACTTTCACTTTCTTCTTGATTCTTGTTTTTGAAGTTACCGGAGAAAAAAATTTCACAAAAAAACTGCTTTCACAGAACACATACTTGAAATTTATAGGAAAAATATCCTATAGTATGTATCTAACGCATGTTCCTATCACAAAAATTGGTGATATTCTTGAGGTTTTTCCCTTTCAAAAGGTACCCCGAGCTTTGTTAATTTTGTCAATCACTGTAGTTATTTCTACAATCATCTGGCATTCTGTTGAAAAACCAGCTAAAAACACTCTTAAGATCAACAAAAATAATGAAAAACAAGTCTTACTTGCGTTCATTATTTCAACGTTTTTAATAGCGTCAATTCTTAATGTAATCCTTACATCAAAATTTTTGTGGATCCAAAAAACGAAATCTGATTTCAAAAACTCGGCGAATTTTTTGTTACTGTCAGAAAATATCGAACACTGTGAAAATTTGAAAAAATTGGGAGATATCTGCCTAGCCGGGGATTCTTACACAGCAGCCTGGATCGAAGCTTTCAGCCAATATCAGAAAAACTGCAATACTTCAAATAAATACAATTATTTCAACCAATCAGCAACGGTTTATTTACCTGTTGAAAAACTAGAGCGCTATGACCATAAGAAAATCAAACGATTAAAACAGTTTCAAGACAAGTTGTACAAATTTATCAGCCAAAGCAAACCGAACACCACTTTGTTTTTCACGCGGTCAATTTATAGAGGTTATTTTTACCACAAAAACTATTCACAGATTTCGGTTGATCAGTTTGAGACGTGGAAAAAATTACTCCGCGCGTTATTTTACGAATTTGTACCTTTTGTTACAAATCATACCTATGCGATATTTATGATCGAACACCCGCATCCAAAAATCAGCCCAGAAACTTGTATTAAGCAGTTTCTTCTGAAACGTAATCGAGAAAATAGCGTGAAAAAAATGACAGCTGCGTGTCCTATGGAGTTAGAGTATGATCCAGGCGTGAATTATACGCGTTCGTTATTTACAGAGTTGAAAAACAAAGAAAGTTGCATAAGTATTATGGACACCACCATTCTTCATATCTGAAGCTCTTTTCCAGCTCCCCTCACTAGGAATATTTTTAAAATTATTTTAACACTAGTAGTTTTATGATGGGACGTAGGAAATTAGACGATACGCAAATTAGACGGATGCTACAAAAACAAAATTAGACGAAATTAATTTTTTACAGATCTGGCATTTTAGACGAAAAAACTATGAAAAGAAAAGGGCCAACAACATTTTTTCTTAAGAGTCAAGTGTCACAAATACAAAAAGAACATAAAATGTCAATACCTATCAAAAACAATTACTTTAAATCAACATAAATTGTCAAATCAGAATATTACAGTAGAGTTTTGAATTGAAAAAATTATGCATATTGACTTGTAAAATTTGCGGCCACCGAAATTTAACTGTTGGCTGCAAACAACTTCATTTTTCTCACGCAAATTGTCTGCAAACAACTTTAATCTCTCTCACATTTGTCTATTTTCTCATAATTGCAGCTTAGCGAAATTGTCTAATTTCCTTTTAAGTACCTCTGTCTAATTTGCTTATCGTTTAATTTCTCAACCCCCTTTTATGATGATTATGATTATAATTACAATGATTATTATGATTAAGATTTTTATTATGTTAATGATAATTAAGAAACCTTTTACTTATATTGTGATTATCATGATTTTTATTATGATTATGGTTATTATTAAGATTATTATTATGACTATTACTATTTTGTAGAATGTTATGATTTCTTATGGTTATTATTATGTTTATGATCATTTTTGTGATTATGACTATTGAAATAAATTATGGTTTTAATGATTAAAATTTGTCTAAATTGATTATCATTATGATTTTTTATAATAAAAAAATTTCACTACTATGATTATTATGATTACTGTTTCGGCCAATTGAAAAAATTAGGAGAAACGTTTTTATTTGGGTGTGTTTTAGTGTTTTTTTCTCTTTTTTCCACTCAAAATTAGCTACCACATGTAATCATCGGAGAGAGTTGAATGGTATATCATATTTAAACCCTTAGAGTCGTGATTCGAACGACATTAAAAAGTTTAGAAAAAATTTTCCCAGTGGCGAGAAAAACCGTTTGAAACTTTTTGGCTTATTGTTAAAACTAGAGCGAATAAATCGAGCAAGCAGGCTTACAATACCTGATTTAAATAGCCTAAAAGCTTACAATAGCCTAATTTAAAACGTAAAAAACTAAAATTACCCAATTAACGTTTGTTTGTTTGAGTATCTACGTTCCGATTTTTCTTTCAGCTCCTTTTATTACACCACGCCAAAAAAAACGAGACTGATTTGAAGAAAAAAAAACCGTTTTCATTGCATTTTTCTAAGACTATGGCTAGCACATTCTGCAGTACTTGCACAGTAGCCGGCAATATTTGTTAATATTATAACAATTATGATTCTTATGATCATGATTTAAATTATTAATATTATGATCTTTATTAGTATAGTTATCATGATTATTAGAACTATGATTATTACTGTTTTTGTTTTGATTAAGATTGTTCTTATTTTGATTATCAGGATTATTGATACTAATATGATAGTTATACTGATTATTTTCAAAATAATGATTAATATTCTGATTAGTTTGATAACAACCATGAAAATGACTATTAGTATTAAAATCATTATGATTATGACTTAAATTGTAAATAAAATGATCATTGTTATGATTATTGTTGTTAAGATTATGATTATTAAGATTATGATTATGATTGTTTGTTTTTATTGATCTGATTATGGTTATGATTTTTTCTTACTATTATTATTAAGATTATTGTATATGATAATTATGACATTAATTTTCATATTTTGGTTATTAATAAAAAAATTTCTGATTATCATCCTTATTACAATGATTAATAAAAAGATTATCTTTATATGATTTTTATTGCGATTATTATGTCAGCTATTTGGATTAAGATTATGGTTTTTACGAATATTATGATAATGATTATTGTTATGATTTTGATAATGATTGTCGTTATTTTTTTTATTTTGAACATTAGCTTGATGATTATGATTATTTTCATGATTGAATTTTTATGATTGTTATGATTATCATTTCTTATGCTTCTCAGGACTTTTCTTATGATTCTCTTTATCATTATTAGTAAAATTTTTATAAATATTATGATTTTGTTTTTGAATTTTTTTTATTTTACGGTTATTTTAACTATTATCATGACTATTATGATTATCATTATGATTATCTTGATTATCATGATTATAATTATAGATGATATTTTTTTGATTGTTATGATTATGGTTACTAATTTTTCCTTCTGAGATGATTATTATTACTATGGTTGTCATTATAGTTATGATTATGAATATGTTTTGGTTAGTATGATTATCATGATTCTCATGATATTGATAGTTTTTATGATTTTCATTACGATTATGATTATTATGATAAAATTATGATGATTACTTTAAAATTTAAAGACTATGGTTATGATTATTAAAATGATTATGACTATGAAAATTATGAAAATTGTTATTATGATTATTATGAGTATTATTATGATAATTTTGGATATTATTATGATTATTACAATCATGGTTATGATTTTAATTGTTATTGTTATGATTGTTACGAATATTGTTACTAAATTATTACTTTTTGATGAGTAATTTTTTACCATGATTGTCAATATATAATCATGATTATGAATATGTTTATGATTATTATTATTATCATGGTTACCATAATTATTATCATTTTTGCCGTTGTTATAAAATCGTTTTGTAAATTATTTTTATGATTGTAATTTTTATGATAACGATGGTTTTGATTATTATGATTTTAATGACTATTATGATTACTATCACGATTATTAATATGATTATATTCTAATGATAATTATGATTATTATGATTGTGATTATTATGAGAATTCTTAAAACGATAATTATGTTTATGATTAATATTTTTGTTATTATGTTTCTATGTCTAATAAATTACTATTTCGAAAAACCACGCGGGGATGAGTCAAACTTTAATAAGGTTTTTCTAACTCGTGATTCAAATGATCTTAAAATATTTTCACAAAACATCAGTTTGAAAATTTTGGTTCTTGCTCAGTTTTTGCAGCTTCAGTTCAAAAGTTTCGATGCTGTGATATTTGAGTTTGACAAACATCAAAACAGTCAGAAAGTCGAAAAACTCTAAAAATTGTTAGCTTGCGGCTTTTTCCACAAAAAATTTTGTTTGTGTTCTGAATCTTGCCACCAGAAATGAAGTTACCTTAGGTTATCAATAAATCTTCTAAGCATTGTTTTCATCTCTTTCCCTTTTTTGTACACACGCTCTGATTTTTATTTTGAAGTAGTGTTGTCACAATCTGCTTTCGTTATTGCGCAGAATAAACCAGCTTAACTTATAACATTTTGGTCACTTTTTTCGGAGCAAAATTCTCAGCAAAAATTAAACTGATGTAAATTTTGAGTCTGAATTCCCAAAAACAAACAGTTTGCAGTTTGACATATGACCGTCAGACATTAAGTCGTCAGATAATTTTTGGGTCAAACTTTGCGCATGAATTACACATTGCTCACAAGGAACTTTACAGAGGAAAAAAGCAAACTCGTCAAAATTGTTTAGACCATTAAAAAGTCAAAAATTCAAAACAAGAATGGAATATTTATTTTTAAAACTTGTTTAAAGTCAACAATCACTGAGCAATTATGAATACGGTTTTTAAACACCAGCAATCAGGTCCAATTAGGCGATGCGAAGAAAAAAGATAATTGCTTACCAAAAAAAGCATTAGCGAACAGCATTCAAATATGAACAAGAGAGATAAAACTTAGGTGTAAAATAGAGCTCAAAAAAAGACCTATAGTTCAAATAAACAGAACTTTTTACAAGATTTAACAAAAAAGAAAATCACTATTTCACAATTTTTATGAGAAAATGCCCTCATCTTGTAATTTGAGCCTAATTATCTATGAAATTTTAAGACTCTTACAAACAAAGATTTAAGATAGCGAATTTTTTCAGCCGAACTTAGAACTAAATCCACCGTTTTAGGGGGAGGATGATAACTTGGCTCAAGAAGTGTACCAATTTGGGAAACTATTTGAAACATGGTTTGCGTCTGATTGTTTGCTCATAAGCTAAGCAAGGGTGCCTGGAGTGTTCAGACATCCTCTTAAAATCCAAAGAAAAAGTGATTTTGTAAAAAAAATGATGTTTAAAAAAATCAGATTAATTTTCTGAAAAATTACTCCCCACCCGCTACGTGAAGTACAATAAGATGTATTAAGCGTAGCGTCTAAAAATTTATGTCGCATCAAATCAAATTGGAAGTGTGAGCCCACCATTTAGATCGCCACTCACTCTTAAATGCAAATTAGACAAATTGGCATCTTTCAAACCGCCATAAAATTATGAAAACTGATCACAGATGGAATGTATATTTTTCAAAGGTTCTCAAAGCGTCTTAGTTTTTATTTGATTTTAATCCACATTTTTCAGGTGCCATGAAAACTCCATTCATAAGTGGCTAGTTGAAAAGCCGAAGTTTGTCCTAAGAAAAAATTACACCGAGCCTAAACTTTCTATCGCCTTTATTTGAAAGACAAACTAACAATGCAGGGGCGTCCAAGAGTGCCGAAGTACAACAGTGCAGAAACTGAAAACGTGTTTAGCCGTCTAAAAAGCTGATCATATTTGAGAATTTTGAGTTCTTTTTCTGAATTGCTGGTAATTTTGCATGAGTTTTGTGTTTGAGATAATAGTTTGTTTAGAAAAACTTATGACGGCGCTCTTGGGGAACATTGTTTTCATTATAAGCATTGTTTTTTTTTCTACAAAAAATTTACTTTTCAGTTATTTGGGATGAGTACAAACAGTATTCAAAACAGTTTTCGGCACTGTTGAACATGATTTTGATTTTCGGCACTGTTGCACTTCAGCACTGTTGTACTTCAGCACTGTTGTACTTCGGCACTGTTGTACTGCCCCAACAATGCTGGTCAAAAATAATCCATTTATTCTGAATAGTTTACAAAATAAGGCTTATATTGTGCAAGTTCTTTTAATTTTATGCAACTTTCTTTGAGTTTCCGAAGTTTGACTTCGTAGAAATGGGTCCGCTGCTGTTTGGCACGAGTATGACTAATTTCACGTGGCCAGCTGTTAACGATGGCACAATATCATTTAAAGATTCCAGTCATATAACTGCTGAGTTTGCAGCTATCAATCTACCAAAACTTGTATCAAATTTATTGAAAATAATCTCTTAACAGATGCTATAACTTATATTTAACTGTTGAACTTGTAATGATACTCTGATGCTTTTCCATTATATGACGGACATTTTATACTTTCAGTTTCATCTGCAGGCAAAGGATCGTTCGACAAATTTGCTGAAACATCTCTCAACTGTCTTAAATTTTTTCAACTGACCCTGAATGAATCATTTTTTCATGCTGAATTGATCATACCGAATTGAGCATATGCAATGGAAGTATTGTTGCATATTTTAGCTAAGTGTTCTCCGAAAAACAGTGAGACTTCAAAATGCTGAACGGGGCAAATAGAAAGTTAGACGGTACATTTCTGGGAACAAATGAGAACATTTGGATAAAGTACACGGCCAGTATGGAAAAAGGATAGCTGTAAGATCACTTCCCACAGAACCACGCCATAGAAATTTTCGTTAAAATTCTATAGATTGATTAATTTTTTTCAACAATTTCCCACGTCATCGTAAAAACACTGGGATGAACAAATTTCTGAAGTTTTTGAAAAAAAACGAGCCAAAGTTCGTTTTTCAGCTTTTTTTGAAAAAATTTTGATGAAAAAATTGTGTTTTTTCGAAAGCTCGCTCCCCCTCAAAATAGTTTAAATTGGTGCAAAAAGTAATTTTGAAACCTGTAGAGTAGGTTAGCGAGAAATGGATTTCTCAAAATATTGCTAGATCAACTTGATTCTCGTGTTTTTGGTTTTCGATAGTCTCGCCTCGATGAGACTCAGGGTTCGTGCGCCGTGCTTGCGAGTTAAGCAATGTATATGTATGTTTTTCTAAATAAAAGTTGTTCAATCCCTAAATCCGTCCCTGACTGAGAGATTGAAGTTCAACTCTCGAAAAAACTGCATCACGAGGCCAAACTGTGTTTTTTGTGAATTATGAGCGGATTCCACAACAGGCTTAAGACAAGTTTTTCACCAAACCCCACCACCTCTTTTTTTATTGTGCTGCTGTTTTCGATTCCACGAACAACTAGCTATCACACTGTGTAGATTGCGCCAAAAGCAGTCGGTTTTGAGAAATCCGGAACAAAATTTGCCGAATCCAATCCAGAACAGTTTGCAAAATCAAAAAAAAAATCATGCAATTTTGCCGAATCCGCATTAATTTGCAGAATCAAATACATTTGCGAAATCCACCTGTAATTTGAGAGTTTTTCTTCATATCAATTAACTACACATCACCATTTTGTGAAGATAGATTTAGGTCAATTTTTGATTTATAGAATTTATGATAGAGATTTTCAGACTACTGTTACCGTAGTTCATCCGCAAACGGATGCCAAAATTATTCCTGAAAAACATCATTTGGAATAAAAGCTTGCAGCCAGAAATAGAAAGTACACAGGCGGAGGGTAGAGCCGGTTTAACATTTCTTATTTGTTAAGTTGTTATGGATAAATTTGAAAGAAGAAAGATATCTCGAGGATTTTTTTAAGATTGACATTAGCGGTTGATATAATTGAAAAAAAAATACACATAATATCAAATACTGATAAAGTAATAATTCGTTTTCCATATTAATCAAATAAATTGTGTGGCGAAAATTATTGTTGACGCAATTTGATGATGGACTAAATTTGAAATATAGTAAAAAAACAGCAACATGCACAAAATTATGCAAAACTGTTTTCCGTTTCAATAGATCAGGAAAATTTGCACAGATTTCCTCTCAATTTTTTAACTAATTTTTTTTTGTTTTGGCTTAATTGAAATATCGTTTAAAAATATTCCAGCATAAAATCTCTGCCATACTTTGTTTAACTGTGGACTCTTGATGATCATTGGAAATATTCTCAACCAGATCTCTGTGGTTGACGAAAATCTACTTTGCTATCCTTGTGGCCTGGGAGTTTTGCGTCCTCAGCGTGGTTCCTTTAACTGAATCTTTTAGTGATTTTTTTTTGTCCTGATTGGACTCTGATGATAAACTTTGATTTGGATAGTTATATTAGTTGCAAGTATTTTTGGTTTCTAGTAATTATCTAACTTTTTGTCAAGAAAAATTTCTGCCGGTGTGCTGTTGTTTTGGTTTTTTGTATTTAGATAAGTCATCAGTGTATGCTCATAGAAAGCAATGTACATTACAAAATTTTGGATACTTTCACGATCGTAAACTTTATATCGCAGAACCCATTTACTTTTACAGATTTTTATTTTAGGTCTAGAATTCAGCGAATTTTTTAAATTCAAATCTTTCTTCCTGCCTGAAAAACTAGGATAGTCTTCTAGCTAATTGATGTGTTACTTTTGCTTTTGAAATTGTTTACGGCTTCTAATTATTTGAAACATCCTTGTTGTAGTGATGGTTTGTTCTTTTGATAAGTCTCACAGCTAATTACAAGTTTTGCTATACTTTTTGACATGCCAATACAAAACAGTTTTGATTACAATAGAGTTTCCGTTGCCTGTTGTTTTTAATGCAACTGTTACAAAAACCTTCAATCACTTTCCTTTCGATTCTCATTGGTATCGAAAAAAAGCTTTACCCTCTTGTCAAAAGTTCAGTTTATTTTTTGAAAAAATATCCAACCTTTAAACTCTGTTTTTGATCAAAGTTCTGTTTGCGCATGAATTTTTATGAAAGGATCGATTTGATTGGAGATTGGTTCAGCTTGATTGTTTACAAGTATTGAAAGGAAGTTCAAGAAACATTTATTTTATTTTTCGGCGCCTTGCAAATAGGCAGTCTACAATGAGCAACAGCATACACAATTTGGTCTTTTGAAACATACCTAATCAAAGATTGGAAAAGAGTAATGAACGCAAGTAAACAGAAATAAAAAACTGACTTTGTTCAAAAAAATCTCAACTGTCGATTTTCAAAAAAAATGATGCCCTTTAAACTCTTTGAATTTCTAGAACGAGTTTTGATCGGTGCTTTTTTGATAACTTTAACCCAACCTGAGAACACTAGATCAACAGCTAAAATTTTAATTTCTCTTGAAATCTAAAAATTTTATTCTACTTTCGAAACTAGAAGTCGTACACGTTTTTTTGCGAAAAAGTTCACGAAAATTTTGGAGAGTGCTATTTACGTCAGTGTCAGCAGATGAATTTTAATTAAACCAAAAAAGTGCTTATATTCTTAAGTGCATTCATAAAAGCATCACTATGTATGAATGCTTATCTGTCGTTATCAGAGACTTTTATGCATATTTGAAGACTTTCTCCTGAAAAAAAAAGAAAACTAGCAAGACCTATTTAAGAGTTTTCGCTACTTCAACTACTCTTGAAACATTTCAATTTGTTACCAATTTCCATGAGCGCATTAACCTATCTTGCTGCTCTGGCTACTGCTGTTTTTAGTATCTGCTAGTTGATGTAACGATGAAACTGATAATGCAAGCTTTTTTCATAAGTTGCAATGTGCTTTTAAGTGAAAATGGAACAGATAGTTTCGCGCAACCTACTTTTTTGATTCTTCGAAAGTCTTTCAGTAAGAGCATTTTTTTTACAAAGCTCGGAAAAGATCGTCTTTTGAAAATCTTTGTCAACAAAACTGTTGCAATTCGGAGTAGCTCGAAGGAAATGTCTCCAACTAATGATAAAATTTAGATCAAAACCAAACAAATTTTGATGGTTTGCAAATGATTTTTTTAATGATTGCAAGTTTCCTCTAAAAGCCGTCTGTTGGCTGTCGAAAAAAGTTTTTTCTCTTATGATGTTTTTAAACAAATATATTTTTTTTATCAAGCCTTAGATTATCACGTTTTTGATTACGTTTTGTTATTTTTAACGCAACGAACTCTTAAACAGTTTTCGAATCATCATAAATAATTTTTTCATGTTTGCGCTTAATGTAAGCTAATTGTTGTATTGCCAATAATTTCCATTTTGTGTAGTTTACTTTTACAGATTTTTATTTTAGGTCTAGATTTCAGCGAATTTTTTTAAATTCAAATCTTTCTTCCTGCCTGAAAAACTAGGATAGTCTTCTAGCTAATTGATGTGTTACTTTTGCTTTTGAAATTGTTTACGGCTTCTAATTATTTGAAACATCCTTGTTGTAGTGATAGTTTGTTCTTTTGATAAGTCTCACAGCTAGTTACAAGTTTTGCTATACTTTTTGACATGCCAATACGAAACAGTTTTGATTACAATAGAGTTTCCGTTGCCTGTTGTTTTTAATGCAACTGTTACAAAAACCTTCAATCACTTTCCTTTCGATTCTCATTGGTATCGAAAAAAAGCTTTACCCTCTCGTCAAAAGTTCAGTTTATTTTTTGAAAAAATATCCAACCTTTAAACTCTGTTTTTGATCAAAGTTCTGTTTGCGCATGAATTTTTATGAAAGGATCGATTTAATGGAGATTGGTTCAGCTTGATTGTTTACAAGTATTGAAAGGAAGTTCAAGAAACATTTGTTTTATTTTTCGGCGCCTTGCAAATAGGCAGTCTACAATGAGCAACAGCATACACAATTTGGTCTTTTGAAACATACCTAATCAAAGATTGGAAAAGAGTAATGAACGCAAGTAAACAGAAATAAAAAACTGACTTTGTTCAAAAAAATCTCAACTGTCGATTTTCAAAAAAAATGATGCCCTTTAAACTCTTTGAATTTCTAGAACGAGTTTTGATCGGTGCTTTTTTGATAACTTTAACCCAACCTGAGAACACTAGATCAACAGCTAAAATTTTAATTTCTCTTGAAATCTAAAAATTTTATTCTACTTTCGAAACTAGAAGTCGTTCACGTTTTTTTTGCGAAAAAGTTCACGAAAATTTTGGAGAGTGCTATTTACGTCAGTGTCAGCAGATGAATTTTAATTAAACCAAAAAAGTGCTTATATTCTTAAGTGCATTCATAAAAGCATCACTATGTATGAATGCTTATCTGTCGTTATCAGAGACTTTTATGCATATTTGAAGACTTTCTCCTGAAAAAAAAAGAAAACTAGCAAGACCTATTTAAGAGTTTTCGCTACTTCAACTACTCTTGAAACATTTCAATTTGTTACCAATTTCCATGAGCGCATTAACCTATCTTGCTGCTCTGGCTACTGCTGTTTTTAGTATCTGCTAGTTGATGTAACGATGAAACTGATAATGCAAGCTTTTTTCATAAGTTGCAATGTGCTTTTAAGTGAAAATGGAACAGATAGTTTCGCGCAACCTACTTTTTTGATTCTTCGAAAGTCTTTCAGTAAGAGCATTTTTTTTACAAAGCTCGGAAAAGATCGTCTTTTGAAAATCTTTGTCAACAAAACTGTTGCAATTCGGAGTAGCTCGAAGGAAATGTCTCCAACTAATGATAAAATTTAGATCAAAACCAAACAAATTTTGATGGTTTGCAAATGATTTTTTTAATGATTGCAAGTTTCCTCTAAAAGCCGTCTGTTGGCTGTCGAAAAAAGTTTTTTCTCTTATGATGTTTTTAAACAAATATGTTTTTTTTATCAAGCCTTAGATTATCACGTTTTTGATTACGTTTTGTTATTTTTAACGCAACGAACTCTTAAACAGTTTTCGAATCATCTTAAATAATTTTTTCATGTTTGCGCTTAATGTAAGCTAATTGTTGCATTGCCAATAATTTCCATTTTGTGTAGTCCAATTTCTGAAACTTTCAAAACTAAGAGTTCCGTTTAATTTGTGAAAGAAAACCTTTATGCCAAATACCGAGAAACGCTTGTTTAAGTTTTTTTGCTCTTCAGGTGAAATTTTGAGCCGGCCCGATGTCTCAAAACACAATTTGTTTTCTTTGCTACGTAACTTATGTTATGTAACTGGTTTCTGTGCACAATGTTTGATACTTACTTGTAATTTCACATCTCGTATCTCTCACCTTGTAATTTGAACCTGACTGAGCAAGAAGCGCGCCCTGTAAAGGTACTCAGAAAATGTTCTTTTTTGCCCGCAGTTATGTCGATTAATTTGTCTGAGTGTGCTTCCGCTAGCATAACAGTCAGTCAAGTCATTACTCTTTCGTTTTTTTAAAAGTTTAACAGTTAAACTTTTTTAATAGTTTTTCATCGGTACTAAGCCTTTCAGATATTAGAAAAAAAATTGAGAACTTAATATTTGACATGTTGCCCTGAACTATCTCGATATGTCTAATTCTTATCAATGATAAATTTATACAAAAATTAAGAGATTGATGAGGTATAAATTGTTCTTGAATAGCTAGTTGTTCCAAATTCGGCAAATTTACACTGATCCCGCTTAAGTTTGCCAATTCCAGTTAAATTTTGCGGATTCCGTTTACAATTTGCGAATTCCACTTCTAATTCCGCCCGCGAGTGTGGACCAATATTTTTGTTTGTTTGTTGATTCTATAATCTGTTCCGGTTTGCAGAGTTTTCGTTGCAAATTCCGTTATGTTTGTTGAGATTTCTGCATTTTTTGTTGCTGATTCCGCAAGTTTTGTTGCGGATTTCGCAAACTCACGTGTGCGTGGTGCAGTTTTGAGTGATACTGTGTTATAGCTATTTGTTTGTGGAAATCAAAGCAGCAAAAAAGACCAAAGAAAACTAGCATTATTTTGGATTCTGCGACAAATCTAATTTCGAGTGGTTGCGGACTTCGCGTACTGTTTTCAAAATACAAAAAAAATTTCTAACCTTATTTTGGAAAGATTTCGGCCTGCTCTTTGACGAAGTTTTTCGAATCCTCACTCCATAATTATCCTTCTCTTCCTTTGGAGATGACTCATTAGTTTGGCCCTCTAATAAATTGGCCTTCTGGAAATTGGTTCCAGGAACGGTTTTAACAAATTTCAGCATCAATAAATTGAGCTTCTAGTAAGTTTAGGATCAAATATCAAAGTAACTGTTCACAAAATAATTGTAATTTTATCAGCATTTATTGTAAATAACATTTAGCTGTTTAAACACTTAATACGATTCAAATCAAACAACGTTTGTTTTTGACATTTGGAAAATAAATTTGCAATTGCTGACTAGGTTAATATAAAAACAGTTAAAAATAACACTATATAAATGTATCGTTTTCGGATAGTATTGCCAATAAAAACATTGTAAGGATGTATTGAGAGGTTTATTCTCAATGAAACAACTATCCAATTTGATTCAATTTGAAATGGTAATGAAGTTGATTTCAAGATAGGGTCAAAATTTATGTATAAGGCGACACCTTTCTAGACATAAAGTTAATTTTGTACAAATATGGCATGTTTGTTATCGTTAAGGCGTGGTCGTTTGATATGCTCCCTTGAGGCTTCGTTCAATAAATAATAGCGGATTACCAATTTTCAATTTTCAAATATTTTCTTTCGTAACATAAATTTTTGGTAGATTAGAAAAAAAAAATTTAAAGTTCAATGCTTCTTTTTCAAAAACCATACGAACAAGGAAAGTATAGTTGAACTATTTTGATAGAAGAAAAAAAAACTGTCGAAAAGTATAACAATACTTTTCAATTTCAGCTACCGGATGTCTGAATCTAACTTCGATTCAGAAGCTTACAGTATCGGTGCACCTGTGCTAATTAACGAATTGCGATCAGTGGTGTAATTTTGCTGTTTAACTTTGCAACCAACCTGTTATTATATTTGCTAACTATATTATTGACTAGTAATGGCTTGCTAGTTACAAGAGTGACTGTCAGCACAACTGATGATGATTAACTCAGAGCTAGTAAGACCATTTGCGGTACAAAACTGTTTCATCTGTGAAGCTACTAAAGAGATCATGAAAGTCTATCGCAAATTACCATCGTTCTTACGATAAAATCAAACTTCTGCAAAATCACGTTTTTTTTGTCTTGAATTTTGGAATCTAGATGCTGTTTAACACTGAGAGAAGATTTTACCAATTTTTAAAATTCATGGGCACATTTTGCACAGATTGCAATGAGGGGAGGCAAGAAGCAGCAAAACAGCAGTAATAGTATTTTCTTGAAATCACTCGAATTTCAATAGTTGAAGCAAATAAAAACTATACCTCTAATTGTTTCGACAAATATTTTTTTTTTGATTTTTGACTTGCCAAGGAAACTGTTATGGCCCAAAAACCAGCTACTTAACATTCCGCCTTGAATAGATTTTAAAAATCATACATTTTTAATGATTTTTTGTTCATCTACTTTTTGTTATATAAAAAAAAAATTAATGTTTTCATTCCAAATTGTTTTTCGAAAAAGTGTTTGCTTGAGTAGATTTATTTTCTCTGAATAAATGCAGTTCCCTGAATATATTTAAAAGCTCTTTTTCTGTGAGATTATTACCGCCATCCTAACCTAGATTTCGGTTGCCGGGAAATGTGTGTTTTTGATGGACAAAAAAAGTTAATCAAGACTTATGTTTCAAAAAAATTTTATATCCCGCGCCTAACCTAGAAAATGTTCAAGTCCAGATCTGAATAATATTTTCAGACCTAAATTTCAGATCTGAAGTGGTTTGTGAAATTTTAAAGTAACGTTTTGATACTTTAGGAATTGGTTATTTCAGATCTAAACTCAGATCTGAAATTTTGGTTTTCTTGGTTCCTTCGGATCTGAAAAAATCAGTTTCAAACCTAATGTCAGATCTGAAATTTAGTTTTCTTGGTTATTCCAATGATTCTGACACAATTTTTGCTGTTTTTGATACTTATTTATTTGATAGCTTCGGCTAGCTACTAGCAGGTACTCAGCAAAGTCTCCAATGGGAGGCTGCCAAATTATGCTTCCCCAAGCATGAGATAAACATTGGAAACGCATAAAAAGCGCATGAAAATCAACAAAAAAAGTTGATAGGTCTTCTAACAATTTTTGAAAACTTTTTATCACAGTTGAACAAGCAATTTAGTTCCAAAAAAATTATTTGTGAAATTATTTGGAAGTTTGTTTTACCACTAGTAAATATAAACATAGATGTGTATTGCAGAAACATCAAAAAGTAGAAACTCAATTGTTTGCTCGAAGTGTATAAACTATAAATTAACAAAGGGTTTCTCAAATTTATTTTCATATCTAAGAAGTTCTGAGATAGAGAAATTTTTCGTAGGATGGTTAACCCGGGGTAGTTTGAGATAGACGTGTTTTAGTAAGAACCAGTATTCAAAAAAGTTTAAGGTATCATACTACTTAAGAGAAAACATATCTATAGTTTTTATAAATTGATCGTCTCTTAGAGGTTTTTTAACATATTTCACTTCTCTGTCTGGATCGCACTAATTTTAAAAAATTTTAATTTTACATCCTGCATCTGATTGAAACGAAATCAATTATATTAATCTTTGTGGTCTAAATAAGATTCTGTACAACCGATCAATACAGTGCTGATTTAAATGATCCGGACAAAATGAGTGAGCTTGATTTTTCAAACACGTTTTTCTCAATTTGGGTTAAGATTAGACAACAAATGAAGGGAACTAAAGCTGCTTAGAATTTCATCAGAATAAATATGGTGCAGTTTTTTCTCCGAAATTCTGAACTAAAATTTTACCCCAAAAAATGGGTCATTTTGGCTTTTTTCATAAACCAAGAATTACGCTTAAAATACTTCGTTAATTGATGAGAAATATATATCACAAGAAGCCTCATACACAGCCTAACAAAGTTCTAGAAGGGATAAATTTCCAAAAATATCCTCTAAATTGCTTAAAACTTGTTTTTAATCAAACAATTTGGGTTTAATATAAGTAAAAATCATGTTTCTTGAATATCAAGCAAAAATATTTTTTCTTATATTGGTTTTTGGAGATTTAACCTTCCTTGAACTTTGTTGGGCTGTGTAAGAGGCTTCTTGTGATATATAGTCCTTATCAATTAACGAAGTAGTTTCAGCGTAATTCTTGATTTATTGAAAAAAGCCAAAACGACCCATTTTTGGGGTAAAACCTTAGTTGGGAATTTCGGAGAAAAAATTGCAACATATTAATTCTGATGAAATTCTAAGCAACTTTAGTTCCCTTCATTTATTGTCTAATCTTAACCCAAATTGAGACAAACGGGTTTGAAATTTCAAGTTTTGCTTGTTTTGTCCGGATAATTTAAATCAGCACTGTACAATCGATTCTCATGTTGCACTCAGACAACAAAATGGATTAAAAATTTGATGATAATCCATTGTTTTTAACGAATTTAAAGTTAATTTAAATCCATTCAAAATCAGTTAGAATGCAAGATTTGCAAGTTTTTCTTATTATCAAATGAATAATGCAAAAACCTTGCTGTACGGCTTACTCCATCTCTAAACCTATCAAAGCTTTCAAAGGTTTTCGTCAAAGAACTGATAATGGAAGACATAGTGACATATACACCATCCGAAGTAGAAACAAGCTGCCTAAAACCAGCCGAATTACGTAACTGTTACATATTAGTTATGCCGTGAAATTGAACTGCGTTATATATTCGACTGAACTAGCTTTTATGCTCGGGTGTTCGGCTGGTTTATACTCTGGCTGGTTTATCTCACAGAGGGATTGTATTTTCCTGTTTCAATGTTTGCTCAGGCGGCTATCTCCAAAATGCGCAAATTGATTTTAAATTGTTAATCACACTCTCTTACCCATAACGGGTTCATTGTTTTGCTCAATTCAAAGTCTTACATGAATTGCGGGGGTATTACGACCCGCAAGTCTATCCGCAAGTCTATCCGCAAGTCTATCTTCCGACCCAAAGTTTCCGATCCGAAAATTTTATCTACTTTTTGGTTCTCATTAGACAGTGATGACTTTTTCAACACAATTTGAGAAAACATATTTTAAGTTTTTTTTTACCATTTGGCCGTTTTCTTTCAGGATGGTACAAATCAGCACAGAATGCGCTATTAAACTTTTCCTGAGGCTCAAACGATTGTTAGGAAAACTTTCAAGAGAGATGATAAATCAAATTTAGTCACCCTCATTAAGTTTAAAAAGGAAAAAGTTTTGTGAGCTTTTTGAGATTGACCACTGAAGTTTGAGAAAAGTCCCAGTAGGAAGTTTAAACTGAACTTGATATCTCTATTGTGCAAATGGTTGCAGAATAGATATGAAATCATTTTTGCACAAAGAGGTTCAGGATTTAGAATTGAATTACTCTTGATAGCAATTTTCTATTTTCAAATAAAAAACTTCAATGAATAAAGCAATCAGCTGATTGAGTTAGGTCCTTGAGGTCAACTCATAGAGTAATTTCGGATAGGGTACACCGTCTGCTCGTCACGCTATCATATTTTCGACCGGATAGATTCGTGCAAATTCTTAGTCTAATACCGATCCTAATCTTACTCTTATATCTACTAGTCTCAGGGTGTTTAACTAGTCTCTGCTAGGCTCAATAGATCTAGAGTATACTGGTTTATTGCAACTGCTGAAGTTCTCTTGGAGAGGTAACTAATTTCTAAGTTAAATTCAAATCTCTCTGGTGCTGAAATTACAAGTAATTTCAGCACTTACAAATAAGTGGGTTGTTAGTTAGATGGATTATGATTGGTTAATATTAAATATTTTACAGTGGTAAAATATCTAATTTATCCAATAATAAAATGTAGTTTAGATCAGGTTCCAGCCATCCGGGGTTTACAGAGTTTTTTAGAACTATCTTTCTTCTCTGCAATTGAAGGATGGATGATGAACGTTGATATTTGGCGAACATCATTTTCTTATCCGGTTCCTCTTGAAGAAGAACGTTCCAGGACGCTGGAATCAGGGATAAGAAGTTGTTATTTTGTCATTCGACAACGACTGTGATCCCCAATGAAATCAATCCGATTTCAAAATGGTTTGCTATGTCAGATTTTTCTGTATTAGTAGAGAACTGTTTTGTGTGCAGCCTCGTCTGGGAATGGCGTGAAAATCGTGTTTGGAAGGGATGCCTTGTAACTCGGATCTGTACGTATACTTGAGCATCGAGGTGGTCATTGGTCTAGTTCAATGAAGTCCTTTTCTGCGAAGTCAAGTCGTACTCTAAATCCTTTGAGTCGTGATTGTGGACGGCATGTCGGTTGTGTTTAGCCATTCATCTGTTCGAGTGTGATGGGATCATCTAGTCTTTGGATGTTCGTCTTTGTCGTTGTGTATGATCTATATACTGCAAAGTATGATTTAAAATTTATAAATTTTTGTTTTTTTGGTTTTTTAATCATGAACTTAGTTAGCCGTTTTCACAAAAGGGTTTTGGTTTTAGCTCAGTTATTTTGAAGAGTTACTCACCCTTGAGTACCTCTTATTAAAAATTGAAGTGTGGTCACAAAGCGTGGGTGTAGCGCGGTGGGTTAGGCCGCCTATATGCATGTTCAGGACGTCCTTCTCTGGTGGGTTAGGCCAGGAGTGGGAGTATGATTGCATGCTGTTTCTTTGAGAGGTCCTGTTATGTGATAACGTTTTATGTTGGTTTTTTCTGGTCTTTTTTATGT